GTCCCCTACACTGTCCCCTACACTGTCCCCTACACTGTCCCTTACATTGTCCCCTACACTGTTCCCTACACAGTCCCCTACACTGTTCCCTACACAGTCCNTAACCCTATCAACAATCTCCCTACAACAGTCTACCAGTATGTAACTAGACTTAGGTCTGATAACCCTATCAACAATCTCCCTACACCAGTCTACCAGTATGTAACTAGACTTAGGTCTCATAACCCTATGAACAATCTCCCTACAACAGTCTACCAGTATATAACTAGACTAAGGTCTGATAACCCTATCAACAATCTCCCTACAACAGTCTACCAGTATGTAACTAGATTTAACAGTCTCCCTACAACAGCCTACCTGTACTGTAAAAGCAAAATATTTTGTTGAAGATTTTATTTCTTTTATTTTGTGGTTTTATAAAAAAACAACACAAAATACAATCCCAACGAAATTTTAAACACATGAAATTTAAACTAAACGAAAATATTAAATAAATTATTCATTTTATTACAAAGCCATGGTGTATCTACAGTGTACATTTGAACAGCATGTCAATGAAGCACTATATTTGTTACACTGTTATTGTTACACAGGTAACGTCAGCACATGTCAATATTCACCGTCATGTCTGCCACGCCCAATTTCTTTCCGCACTTTGTGACGATACGGGATCAATTTGAACTTCTTACTTACCAGAAAAAAATACAGGGTTATAAAATATTGATTCCACGAAATATAATCCCATCGAATTTGTCCCCATACAAAAATAACGAAATTTAACCCCAACGAGAATATATGCTTTTACTGCAGTATGTAACTTAATAACCCTTTCACCACAGTAGACCATAATGGACTCATCCAGATCAATGCATGGAAGAGTCTACTAAAGTTGCATAGGGGTGAAAGGGTTATATAAGTCTGATATCCCTCTCAATAATCTCGACTTCGGCTGTGTACCAGCATGTATCTGATCACCTAACTTTTAACAGCTAACTGTCAATCAATAGGTTGTTATCTCCACCAACTTTATGTATTTCAGCATAAAATTGCCACAAAACAGTCTAGTTTAGGGTATGAATGTTTTTTTTACATCCTGGTAACGGTAATTGAAGGCCAAGGCAACTTTATATATTCATTATATTGTAGGACATAAAAGTGCTTTACACAAAATTCTCATAACCTGGTTCTTTATCATCTAAAATGAATTCCAGTACTAAAATATAATTTATTATAAATGAAATTTCTTCAAATAATTTCCAGAAAGTAATCAGAAACAATAAACTGAAAAAAAAATGACAATTTTTTTATCTCAAACATTGTATATCTAAGATAAATACAGTATTTCTAGCAAACAACATAAAACTTTCACAAAATCACTAGCTATGGCCATGTGGACAAAGTCTCACACAATGTAAACTCTTAACTCATTCACCCCTGAAATTTCATAATGAACTATTCCAACCTTCGAATTGGAAGAGTTCAAATGTGTCTTCCGGGGTGAATGAGTTAATACCTTAATATTAATTATAGCCTAGCTTCAGCAGACAAGGTGAAAAGTGTACATATTATGCCCAAGAAACAAACAAACTTGGATTAACACTTGTTTCAACAAAGTGTTTAAAGGATGAATTACAGTTTTCATATTCTAGATTAAATATTTGACTTTAAAAAGTGATGTACTTTACCAAAAAATAGGGTTTAAAAGGTCCATGTTTATTTTTTCTGTGATTAAAAGGCTGGGAAATCCACAAAAACAATTGTAAAATTTTTGAAGTCGGGGAAAAAAAAAATATCAATGTACATAGTTATTCTTCTCAAATACATGTGTTTACAACTTTGAAAGGAATTTTAACATCGTACAAGTTAGAATGTATTTATTTACTGTAGAAGTTATATTTAATACATGGATAGGCTGATACTACAGATATCATGGCTATTTTTTCTTATACAGAGCTGAAAGGTGAACAAAAAATCTGGGTACACAGGTACAGTCATCAGTCACCTTATATTGAATGTGTAGCTGGTAACGTTTCATTATACAGGTATGTACCAAATGTAATCTTCTACACCTAAACTGACTGGCAGCTCTAAGTGACAAACTTCCACCCTTCCTTATAACTTTACCTGTCAGTTCCTCACCTGACTAACACTCAGGTGTGTACAGGTGTGCACAGGGAACTGCACATTAAACCAAACATGATGTAATCTTGGTTCTTTTGAGGCAGAGATTCACAGAGGTAGATAAACAAGGTATGATGTAATAGTCTAGTAGCTAGGTATGCAGACATTGAAATAAAGTTGAATTTAACGACTGTGTTTTTTTAAACTACAGCAAATATACACATTATACAGAATTTTTTTCAAACTACATAAAGAATCCTTTGAATAGATCTAATCCCAACATTTTCAGACATTTAGATATTTCATCAGTCAAGACATGTCACATTTTCACAGAATGAGAATTTAAACTTCACTTTCGTCACATGTAATGATATAAATTGCCTCGCGACATACTGTGACCTGCATAATTCCTTTTCACAGTATAAATCCTATGAGACATCTGCTCTGATCATGTCAATCACATATTGGATTGGTATACTAGAGAATCCACACATTGACAACACAAGGTAGTCCCGACTTTTTAGATTACGTCAATGATAGGATTTTGTAAGATTTTGTAGATATAGATTACTGTATAGCAGTTATATTTCGCTTGGGTTTTAATTTCGCTATATTCGCGCTTTGAGTTGACTAATATCCGCGAAGTCTAAACACAAGCGAAATTATCGAAAATGTTAACCACTTTTACGGACCTATCACAACATGTTGAAAATACTTATAACGGAGTGCTGTTATGCAAGCTTAAATGAACTCAAATCAGATTATCACCGGACAACTGGGCAATCCATGTAAAAACAACTCTTACATATAGGTGGCCACAACATATGTTTGTGTACACACACAGTTTACTCCTACAAAATTTACATACACATTTGATTTTCTTTCGAGTGAAGTCAATGGCGGTTTACCTGTATTTCGAGTTTGAACCCTTGCTAATGACACTCAAAATAATTTGCATGATACATGGAATTCGGATGGACAGCGAAATTAAACCTCCGCGAATATGTTATGAATATGAAACCGCGAAATATTGACCCTGTAAATTTAAAGCGCTATCGGTACTCCAATACAAAGTAAATCTTTAAACGAGTAAAAGTTTTTAGGGAAACTTTGAAGCAAATAACCCATCAATTATTAATACCTGGTAATTAAGATAAACTGAAGACAATACTTGATCAAGTATCTTTAATGATACATGTAATTTATCAGACTTGTTTTAGCAGTTAGTGGTAGAAACTTTTGAAAACTATTATATTTCTATTTAGAAATATTTATTGATAGCTTCCACTTATTCTAGATAAATGTTAACTTCATGATAGTCACTGAATTTTCTTCCCTACCTTAAACTTTGTAGAATAACACAGATATGTTGATACAAAACTCACCCAGGTGATCCGGGCCGGGTTGAACCACGGGAACTTGGCCTCGTGAATTGTTCTGCGTAGGTGTTGGATCTGTCCACAGCTGGTGCCCCTTCTGTAGAAGAGTATGACATCGGCCACTTGTTATCTTGAAGACCCTGTAGAAGGGCTCGTAACTCCATCGTCTCTCGACTCCGAGGTAGATATGTGGCACCATGACGACCACTGTACCACAGAAAGACAATCATAGATAATTAGGGATTTTAGTACAGTGTTTTATAACAAATCTTAAAGAACTGATACTAATTCTACATGAAGTTATTTCAGTATTGAACTATTTTCAGTAATGACTTTATTAATTTTTATATACATGCATGTTTAAACTGCATTACAGCATCCTTTGATTTCCCGGTGATCATCATGCAGCTGGCATTCATACTTTTACCATCCGAAATTGTATCTAGATTTAATTATTTTAAAACTCATTCATCCCTGAAATTTCATAATGGACTATACCAGCCTTTGAATGGAAGAGTTCTAATGTGTCTTCAAGGGTGAATGATTTAGGCTGTATTTATTGAAGCTGAGTGACAGCCAAGTTTTGGAGAGGAAAATTAAAATAAATTTTACAATAAACCAAATATTGAAATTCAGGGGTAATATAGTGAAATACGTATAGTGTTAATTGAAAAAAGAAAATTGTTTTCACAGTTAAAAGTTTCAAACAGATGTTCGGAGGCACGGTAGTCTAGTGGTAGGATGCCGGGCTCGTGACCGAAGGGTTGTGGGTTTGAGTCACGGCACAGCACTGTGTTGTATCTTTGAGCAAAATACTTTACTCCACTTGTTCCAGTCTAATCAGTTGTTAATAAGTACGTTACAGGTTGGGCAGTGCTAGAATTGTTGAATGCTAGCTGTTAGCGCCGAAATGGCAGCTCCGGCTGTATGCTCCCCAGGGAGTTGAGAAAGGTATTGGCTGGTTGCAAAGGCCCTATAACCATGTTGTGATAAAGCGGTATAATATAAGAACCTTGAATTATTATTAATATTATTCTCTTTTTGAGTATTTTTTCAAGAGAACCAATGTTCATGTACTAGTGATGATCAAACAACAGTTACACCAGAGCTGTAGTTTTTTGATATCATCTGTTTCCCCCTTAAGTGTTTTTATTTGACTACAGTCAACTGCACATTGCCACTATATACATACAAATATATATTGATTTTCTTTCCCATATAAATAATTGAAATATTGATTCCTCAAATCAAATAAAGGGGTACCTATCAATATTCTTTTTGATTCTATCACCTTCCATATACATGGTTTCGTCAGTCAATATGGAACTTTCAAAATAATCAACTTACTATGCATTGTTATAATGTTTCAAAAAGCAAAAAAAAAAATTGAATTTATACATTTTTATAGTGTACTTTTTGGTTGTTATCTTTGTGCTGTAATTTGACTAATTTATTAAAATCACTTATTACTAATAATAATTGTTTTTGCTATTAACTTGAATGTAGCAGCTGACTTGACGCCATATATGCATCAAACCAACCAAAGATCTCATTATAGCCGACACCCATTTTACAATAAGTTTTCAAATTATACATTATACAATACAAAGCTCCATTTCAAAAGACATTTACTACATGTAGATTGTCAATTTATTAAGAAAAGTGAGATAAACAGAGAATCTATTACCAAATGTTCAACGCTGACACAAACAATAGAATGTTTGAATTGAAACACAGTTAATAATTAGAGAAAAGCTTTAAATTAAATAAATGTCATGCTTAAGGAGACGCAAATTGAAGAAAACAAATTTTCAAACAGGATAATGTAGCAAACTGATTGAAAACTTCTGGATTTTAATAGTTTGGCCTTCAATAAGGTCAGGTATGAGGAACTTTTAGTCAAACTCATTCAGTAGGGGATTTAGAACTTTTCCTCCAGTAGATCCGAGGTTCCTCATAAACAGAACACAGCAAGAATGCAGGGAGGGCGACACCTCACCCAAGGTTTAGGTACACATATCATGTGATGTGCCCCAGAGTGTGTTCCTTGGTCCAAATTTGTTTTTGATTTATATTAACGACTTTACAATTGATCTGACAGCAACAGACTGCGTCTCTATGTGGGCAACACTGAAATCTACTTAACAGTTTAAAAAGCATAGTCTAGATAACATAGATCTGGGAAAAACAGTTGAATATGGCAATTAACCTGAGCAAGTGCCAGGTAATTATATAACATGAAATATATATTCAAGTCAAGGATGTCAATCTCAACAACATAAACATTACAAAAGCATGTATTTGTCAACATATAAAGTAACTAGGGAGTTACCAACAATGTCAAACTAGACTTGGAACATCCAAAATGTACATATATAGCCAGGCGAAGATAACTAAGGCTAAAACACTTTATAGGTTCAAGCTGCAGCTCAAGAGTAAATGTGACTGTCCCCAAGTTAAATATATTGTCTGTGTCTTGAAATGGACAGAATATAATGGCTATAGCTTAGGGGAGACAGGGCGGGTTCTCCATGATCCCCTGTGTGACACTACAGACATTGTTAGAGAGATTTGGTTGTGAATACTGTACAATAATAATAATAATTTGAGGTTCGTTATACTGTTTTATCACAACCTAGTTCGTAGGTCATCTCAAAGCAGTTCACAAATTATTATCCGTGGTTTTACTTGGCTTTTGCAACCAGCCAATATCTTTCTCAATTCCCTGGGGAGCATGCAGCTGGAGCTGCCATTTAGGCGCTAACATCTAGCATTTAACAATTCTAGCACTGCCCAACCACATACTCATTTACAGCTGAGTAGACTGGAACAAGTGGAGTAAAGTATCTTGCTCAAAGATACAACACAGCTGTGCCGTGCCGTGGCTCGAACCTGCATCCCTTCGGTCACGAGCCTGGCATCCTTCCACTATATATAGACTACTGTGCCTGACCTAAGAACGTGACTTTTCTGTCCCAATCCCACATTTTAACTTGTACAATTCTTTTATTAACCTAAATATGAACAGAATGATTTTCCTTCAAGTTAGTACAATGTGTATATGACACTGTATACCAGTTGGTACCAACTCAAAGAATTTGACACATATTTTTTATCATCTCTCGGGTAATGTTCAGATATGAACTTACATTTGACACGAGTACACATAATATACTTTATGACCTATCCTATACAGCTATTTGAACATGATTTAATAAACTGAGCGAGAGAATACTCATGACTTATATTCAAGTAGACAAATTACGTACTGGGTCTCGCTCTAAGTCAACAAATACCGTTCTGGATCTCGCTCTAAGTCAACAAATACTTTGTAATGGCCGAAGCATAAATCAAACACTTAATAGAAATTGTGGTACATATGGCACAAGGATAGAAGCCACATTCAAGCTACTGAAGTAAAATCTTTAACCTTTAACTAAAAAAGAAATTACAATGCCTCTAAATACAAACACTGTGTTCATTACTGTTCAAATAATTAAAGTCAACACCGATGAGATGAGAGTCCTTGGTTCTTTATGTGTCAAAGAGCCATTAAAAGTTAGGATATAGTCTAGATCTGAGCGACCAATTACACTGTGTACAGTCACCATCAAAGATCATTGATTTTCCAACTGGAACTGTTGAAAGTTCTCACATTATCAAAGATCATGAGTATTAATTAGGAACACACCGTATAGGTTGAACTGGTGTTTACTAAATACTTCTCTACATTAGATAGGGTAAGTATAAGTTTTGAATTCAATGATCCACTCTCGAAAATGTGGAGGTGAGGCAACACTCACTCACTGAGGCCGAGCTATTTCTTACAGACCTTTTGTATTCTTAGAGTGAGTCAGTATATATATATATAATTAACATTCTTGTACAACAAATAAATTAATAATAGTAATAATTTGAAATTTTTATATATCACAACCTAGTTCGTTGGTCGTCTCAAAGTCGTACACAAATTATTATCCGTGGTTATAGGGCCTTTGCAACTAGCCAATATCTTTCTCAATTCCCTGGGGAGCATACAGCCGGTGCTGCCATTTCGGCGCTCACAGCTAGCATTCTACAATTCTAGCACTACCCAACCAATTTGTACTCATTTACAGCTGAGTAGACTGGAACAAGAGGAGTCAAGTATCTTGCTCAAAGATACAACATAGTGCCGTGACGCAAGTCAAACTCGCAACCTTTTGATCACGAGCCCGGCGTCCTACCACTAGACTTCTGTGCCTCCATTGCACTACGGACCTTAAAACGCTTGAGCAATGTTCAACTTATTAACTAAACATATCTTATACATTTTTCTAAACCTCACCTCAACACTGCGATCAAAACTATGAATTTTATGAATTTGCTGTCAATGACATCATTCAACTGTGAAGTCATGTTATAGGGCCAGAATTCAATACTGATCCTAAACTCTCGTCGAGGATCATCATGATATAGGGCCAGAATTCAATACTGATCCTAAGCTCTCGTCGTGGATCATCATGATATAGGGCCAGAATTCAATACTGATCTTTAACTCTCGTCGAGGATCATCATGAGATAGGGCCAGAATTCAATACTGATCCTAAACTCTCGTCGTCGATCATCATGATATAGGGCCAGAATTCAATACTGATCCTAAACTCTCGTCGTGGATCATCATGATATAGGGCCAGAATTCAATACTGATCTTTAACTCTCGTCGAGGATCATCATGATATAGGGCCAGAATTCAATACTGATCCTAAACTCTCGTCGAGGATCATCATGTGACCGTCGCTGGCTGATAATTGGACATACAGTGTACAAGATTGTTTGGGGTGTAATGAATCAGTGCTTATGTACCAGTGCCAGAATGTACTGATCATGGGGATACATGGAATCACTGATAAGTTTGGAAACTTAACATTCAAATAATCCAATGTGTGAATAAAGATGCAAATTTATCTTCACAAAATTGAGAGCAATTCAACCCAAAATATTGATCAAGGAGATTATGTGTATTGTATACTGTTGTACCTCCCATGGTACATGATATCTACAGTAAAACCTTGTCATACTGCCGATATTTTTCAAGTAAAATTTTGGCATTATTAAGGAGTTTGTCTATATATCAAGACCATAAATAAAGGAATTGTCTATTATGAATAACTTAGCAAAAGGGGACTTCGAATAATGTTTTGATTGGCAGAGGAAAGGAAATGAGGGGGAATTTGGATTTTATAACAACTTTTCAACACACCAGTACAGTCAGAATGTCACAGAAATCCTTTCTACAATGCTGATACCGATTTATTCAAGCAACAAATGGTTATCATTATGAGGCAACAAAATTAACGATGCACCAAAGTCAGGTTCTGGGTGTATAATCAGTACAGATTAAAACGAATTTTAAGATACTGAAAAGGAGATGGAAATGATGAAAATGATAATCAGCCAAAAGGATATGTTTATTTAAGGTACTCAGGTACCATAATGTTAACATGTCAAACAGATCTATATATCACTTATTTCCAAGCCTCTGTAAATTGTCCAACAAATATATAACTTAGATTAATATGATCTGTATAAACTAAACCATAACACGGTCAGAGTAAAGGAAGCCATGACCAGTACTGTGTATTTAAATATCCCATTCTACAACAAATTTAGCATGTTAACACTGGTAGCTGTCATTATAGGAAAATTCTTGAACAAAGCTTACTACCTAAATAAATATTTTTATAACATGAACTTACGACATCATTCAGGGTATATTGTATACTAGCTGCCAAACAAACGAAGGCAAACTTCATATTTACATAAATACTTATTGGTGTACATGTAGTGCTAATAGAAACAATTTTATCCCCTTTTGGTGGAACCTCTGAATGGACATTTTAGTTTGAAGGATATATACATGTATATGTACTGGGGGATTGTAACCAGCATTAATTTGTATTCAGTTTAATTTCGCTACTATTCTCTGTAGTACTTATATAGGCATGGTGACTGCCTGAAAGTACATTTTGTTTGTTAAATATATATATATATTACAATGTACAGTAATTTATATATTAATTTCTGCTTACAGCTAAACCAAGAGAAGACCTATATTTAGTTTGATGTAGACATAATTCCTATTCTGCTATAATGGAAATTGATGTAACAACGTTATTCAAGAGACCAAACACGTGCCTATGATATATACATGAACAAGTAATATCATTTTTTTTTTATTGATATTAATATTTGAAAATAAATAATTACCAAAAATATCATATGGAATATATAATAATTTGCAAACAATATACATGTATCAGAAATCGTATCAACTGTCAGACTTCTTTATTTTTTATGCCCTACAGATTTTCGGCAAAATTATCTCCGAAAACATTGAAATTTATTAGACAGTATTAGAGTCCTCACCAATAATGCAATGGACCTTTGACTGACTTCATGACTGGTAATACAATGTCATGTTTTATTTAGTATAAATAAATATGTACAAAATGCCTGTTAAAATGAATTACGACACAAATATCTATAACCATAATCGTCTTAACGGAGTGTTGTTCATTGAATTTCAAATGTTTCAGGGTTTTCAAGTAGCAGGCAATAACAAAGTAATTTGTGCCAATATAATTAGGCTCGACACAGTGTACAAAGTTATCTTATCATACCTCTGCCCTTTTCCCCCATATTTAACAATTACATACACTTATCATGTGTGTGGTCTAGCTATATCTAGAGTGTGTTGTTTAAAGACACAATCTACCTGGACTAAAAACACTTCTAGTGATCATCATTGTCTTAAAACTATAAGTAACCATAGATGATCTTTGTATTGGTTTGTCAATAAGAAAAAGGTAATTGACTGTATTTTAAATTACATGTAACAAATACATATATACCAGAAAACAATATACAATCTCCATGTCTCAAAGCTTATTAAGGTTCCCTCTAGTTAAAAGTTTTTTTCCCTAAAATAATCACACCCGTGAGATTGATTTTCCTAACAGTAGCATAACTCTAATGATAGTTAATTAGTCCTTAGTATAAATAATGAGAATTTGAGCATACTTAAAAATTCCATGAACTAAAAAAATATGAAAATATTACTTTTGTTGTAATAATAGCTCTTCAGAGCTAATGTTTCTGTTTTTCATATATATACGACTATAAATAAAATGTCTTGTATCTTAATGTATCATGACAGTGTCAAATGTTTTCAGCAAAGTCTTAATTGTAGCAATTAGGATATATACCTAAGGGAAACTGGTTTTATAAACTTAATTGCATAGACATCTATTTCATAGTTCATTAGTTGTCCCACCTTTTGATATCACTCGTCCTACCACATCACACACATATATACAGACCATGTAGCCGACATAGGAAAACCATTCTGACAGAAGAATTAGCGATATAATGCTGCAAAACAGGTTTAATTGCTGGTCAAACAAAACAGCATAACGATTTAATTTAGAACAAACTTAAACTGTAAAAGCTCAATAGTCATTGATTCAATCCATTTAACCTTAACTATTTCTTAACAAATAAAACAGGATATACAAATATGGAAATAAATGAGGGCTTAAACAACCTCACAGAATCAATACACACCGCCAGGTTGTACCTCTACTAATGGAATTCAGGTTATGGTGGTGAGAATATTGAAAAGTTGTTGTGTTTATAGATGGTATCTGACAGTCACAGTGAATACACATACCAATCAATTATACATCTAGGGTAGGAGAGACCTTCTGTTCTCCCGGTCAATTAGGTTACTCCTCATACCCACAGGTATTGTTAAGGCTTAATGTAACAGGCATTCTGGCTTTGATTGATAAGTGTAGCAGTTCTGTTGTGCACTTTTGTCGGCGGTGAGAGATGCAAACCATATTATATTGTTAACAACGTCAAAGTGTTGCAACAACTAAACTAGAAAATTAACATTTGTATATCATACATATATGCCTCCGCTACGGATCTGATGGAAATGGAGTTCAATACAATGTCTATACTATAAAATTGATCTAAACGCAATGTCTAATCAAGGTCACTGAAAAGGAAAATATAGGTCTCGGTGACCTATATATTAGATATTCTTGTAGTACTCCTCAATATATGTATCATGCACATATCTTGGTATATGAAGTTTGATAATCATTGGGCTTCCAGTATATAACTCATTCACCCCTGCAGACACATTTGAACCCTTCCAATTCAAAGGTTGGAATAGTTCATTATGAAACTTCTGGGGTCAATGATCATGAGTTTAAATTATGTATATGTAATGTCTTATGAAGCTAAACCAAGAAGTTGCACAAAAGGACATTTATTACAATCCCCTCTACCAGGTTCTGAAGGAATTTATATCAGGTATGAATGACATAGCCCAAGTGTTGTGATGTCATCATTAATTATGATGTCATAATTGTAATGTTAGATACCATTGACCCTATAGCTAAAAGATGTCTGTTCTATTCATCAAACAGACTTATAGTGACATGACTCATACACTAATTAGAACTTTTGATAATAAAATTTTGAAATTGGCAATTATTTGAATGTCATCTGAAAACATTTCAATGCTTAAATACAGAACTCTTGACTTCAAAAGAATGATTTTATACTGTTTAATCCTTCTCAAAAGGTTTTTCATTCGTGTACATATGTATGAAATGTCGAATAATCTAAGCCTCTGATGTTTGTATATCTGAGCTGATGATCAGCCAGGAGATATAATTAAACAATTCTAGACCTAAAATGACTACATGGAGGTTTCCCTCCAGCAGCTTTGATGTCACCTCATAAGCATGCCTGATATATTTGAAATATTTCAATATTTATAACTGACTTTTTATATAGGGCTATATATAGAATTTTATTTTATTTCTACATTAAAATATTCATCACCAGATAATAAAGTTTCAACTGATAGCCATTGGTATTGATCTACAGCAGACCCCGAAATCAGGCTCTTGTATGGATTCATTAGTTCAGGACTATTGTACATTGGGCACCTCAAAATAGTCCATATCTGCATCAACCATTGCATTCCTCAAACAGTGTTTGCAGTGTTGCCATGACAACACCCTCAACAACACGAACGGAGGATGCACTTTTTATCAATAATCTGACGTTGTTGTGTGTTCATACGCAGGTTTGTACGTATAAAGATATCCGGCTCGTGTTTAGTTTGCAAAGTAAATATCTGTAACGGGTATCAAGTGTTTGCCCACAAGAATCCAGAGTAGCTGTATATGACCTCTTAGGCACTCACGGTTGTCGCTTATCAATAAATCAAGACCTCAGGTAAGAAAGTGTGAACCTAACATAGAACAATGATCAAACGCCGATCAAACGACTGTCGTGAGGTCCCCAGTGAGTTTCCCTGTTACTGCACTTTGATAGGTTTTTGTGACAGTAATACGTCGGTACAATATGTGACAGTTATGGCCATTATAATTGCTATCTTATTGCTGTGTTATATCATATTATTATTTACACGAGAAATTTCTGTCAGTGAAATTTATTATTTACAAACTGGACAAATGTGTTCCATTAGATATGAAACTAAAATGACAACTAAAGAATTTTCCACCCTTGAAAATACACACTCATTAATTGCTGAACTTCGGCACCGTTTCAGTTTAGGTCAGGCGAGCTCAGTCAGTTTTTGTATACAGTGTACTACATTTTACATCACTGTACACATTTTAATGTCTTTGATACATTTTAATGTTTGTTTCTTTTTATTAGATATGAGCAATGATGCAATTTTCCTCTGCTCTAATTGCCTAATGCCTACACTACTCAATGGTGGATGTTTGCAATACTGATACTGTGTTTCTGTTTGAATATATCTCTTACATATTGATTTTGAGTCAGCACTTCCAATTTTACACAGACACATTTTATTGTTTTTGTGTTTCTAACTTTAATTTATATCTGGAAATCCTAAATTCTATAAACCCTTTTTTTTTTTTTAATATGTGAAAAAGTTATGTAGGGTTTGAACACTGCCAGTCCATTTAATCCACATCCCTCAAAATGGAAACATATAAAAAACTTCTTGAACATATTTGTTCTTACATATTACGAATTGAATGGGAGATGTTATAACAAATTTATGATTAAAGGTAACAAACTGCTGTGTGTTTGAGTATACTGACCCTGACCTGTACTTTAGGTCACGGAGGTAGGAAGACAGTTCACTTCCAGGACGAACTCTGCTGTCCATCTCACGCTCGTCCAGCGAGTGGATGAAGTTTAGGACCATTTTATTTTTCTCATCAGCAATGCTCACATTCTCTCTGTCATATTCCTCCTGTAAATATATGTACAGTTTAGCCTGATTTTCAAAAATGTCATCATATGTGCTTTATCGGAGTTGTTGATGATATGAGTAGTACTGTACATTATTATTGTCATCAGAAACGGCATACATTGTACCTGTGCATATTACAATACAGAGAACTCTCACAAGTTACTTTCAGTTTTAAATTCATAACAATGAAAGCTCGTTTATATGTACACTATATGCACGGTCAGAAATACTTAGATACCAATCTTCTGGACTCATCCAAAACTATTGCACTGAAATGGACACCACCTGGGAAAAGAAAACGAGGGCGTCCAAAGACAACATGGAGACGCACCATCACACAGGAATTGAAAGAGATGGCGCTATCATGGGGCGGGACAGTCAACACGCTGCCAACAACAGACACAAATCGAGACGCATTGTTGATGTCTTATATATAATTATGTCCCATACGGGACGAAGAGGATTAAGTAAGTAAGTAGTGAACATTTGTCTAAATTGAGATTAACAAAGTTCAACCAACCATGGACAGAAGAAGTATGTATATGGTATATATATAGTATTTCAAGATTAATATACTTGTAAGATATTCTTTGGAGATCATGTCCATTGCATTGGTAGTTATATTCCGTCTTTGTCTATTGCAGAGATATCTTCTCTTGAGAACAGGTATTGATTGTTACGTCATTGGTTTGTGTGAGAAATTTACGTCATTTTATCAAAAATTGATGACGTTACTCTCACAAACCAATGCCGTAACAATCAATACCTGTTCTCAAGAGAAGATAACTCTGCAATACGCAAAGACGGAATATATCAGCAGTCAGCCCTCTGCCTATTCCTTTCTATGATTTTTTTGTGAGAATTTATAATATTGATGTAAAACATGGTTAAGAAAAACCATAAGGGTACTATAAGAAAAGTGTTCACTAAATACTATTTGTGGTGGCGTTTGGAGTCTGTCAGGTACTATATGAGGACACATATATGTCCTCATTTAACATGTATAGTCAGAATTTCCAGTAAGTATGAGTGTGGTCAATGGCTGGTTTCAAATAAAGGTGATGGTTTTTCAAAGGGTTTCCTTCCACGAAATTTTGATTTCTAAAACTTTCAAGAAGACAGATTGATCCTTTATCAAAAATTATGTTCCAATAGGTTTAAAAGTTCTGATGCAAGCATGGAAAAAGCTTCACTATATAAATTAGGTTTAAATCTTTCATTTTTACCTATAGTTAGTAGAGATTATTTTATTATGTAAATTCAAGAAATTTAGAACAGAGAAATCCCTGACTATATAGCTGATCCAGTGGTGACTCAGGAAATGATAATTAACATGCTTTTTTGTGCTATTTCTCACCTTTACAATACTTCATTCAATATTAACCGATACAAATATTTCTGACAGATCAAGTGAAAAAAACGTCAACTAAGTAAAGAATGAAATCATTAAAATGTCAAAAGGGTGTGTTTAATATTTATGAATATATATAAACCCTGTACAAGGCAAAGCCTTTTTAAACTCATTCCATTAATTTTTGAGTGATTTAAATCTGAAAACCTAAATATCTCAATGTTGTTTACATATCTGGTAAACAAATTATTCATGCATGTATGTGCACATACTCAGTGATGAGTACAGCATTGCCTATCAAATTATCAATATCATTAATCTAAAGTTAAATGAAGTTAGCCTAGAGGATATACGTATACCATTTCCATTTAATATTGTAGACCCAATCTCAACCCCACGTCTCTTTATAATGAACTAGTATATTTCAAAATTGTAAATATATATGCTCATAGCGTTTTGCAGGAGATCTCAGTACAAAATTAATTGTTCTATGTATAAAGTTTCTATGAAAGTATTGTAAAGGATCAAAATAGTCAGTTAAATTATCACGTAATTGCTCAATAAAAAGCTACAGTGGTTATTGGAGGCACAGTAGTCTAGCGGTAGGACGCCGGGCTCGTGACCGAAGGGTTGCGGGTTCGAGTCACAGCACGCCACTGTGTTGTATCTTTGAGCAAGATACTTTACTTCGCTTGTTCCAGTCTACTCAGCTGTAAATAAGTACGTGGTTGGGTATTATTATTAACACACATTTACATTAGCTCTAGTTTCCTCTGACCCTGACACCAGACTTCGACATTTTGACAGATGGACGTCCCATACCTATCTGTCAAAATGTCTTATTCTGCATGGTGTCAGGGCCAGAGGAAACTCAGGCTAATTATACATGTACTGCATACACAATTTATACTGAGTACCAATTAATTTAAGTGTTATTCACACTAGTAGATACTCAGCATGTACTTTAAATTTGCATGTCATTATACATAATGGTATTTCATTTACTGGTGTTAATTTTCTTAGTTCAAAAAACACCTATCCTGATACATGTACATGTCACCTGTAAAAATGTAATTAATGTACCAATTATAGAAAAGGTTGTTTTTAGAAATGTAGCTTAATATAAAATAGAAAATGACAAAAAAAGGTAAAGAAGATACAGTTGCTATTTTCAACTTCTTTATGATATATGTATAGACTATTGTTACTATTTCCTTGATATGCTGACATAATAATTGTGTGATATTTATTATTGAACATTCTTTTGTCATCGAATACAGACATGTCTGTCCGATTTGGTTATCATTGATGAAAATCTGCCTTTTCATATAAGGACATATATCCAACTTTATAAAAGTTCATTTTCAAATCTGAGACCTGATTTTTTAACCAATTAATATTGCGTCCCTGAGTGAACGTCGGAGCAGCAGTATGTTGTCAGTATATATATATGCCTTTAGAAAATCCTCAGGTATCATCAATACTGATATTATGGCCGGTGTCAAACTTTGATAAATTACCATTAATTTGTGTAAGTTAATACTTTGATCCCGACATTTTCATCTAAACCGGGATACACACTAAATAAGTTGATCTTCAGTAAACACAATGCTGTCTATTACTTGGTTTTAATTAGAGTATCTGGCAGTTATTGTGGCCGATTGATTATCTCTCTGCAGGGTAGATGTTCCTGTCTGTAATATTTCTGTACGTCTTTGTACGGTGAGTAAATTAACCTTTCTGTGTAATGAACATTGATTACCTCTAAATCTTTGTCCCATCAAATTCTAACAATATGCGAGTAAATACCCTATAAGCATGGTGAAATATTGCCAGGATAACCCAGCACAGCGGCTATATCCACTCCACAGTATTGATATTCTTTATCTCTAGTGTGTTGGCTATGGCCTCCAAGTAACATATGAGGAAATGTTTTTGTTGATGATTTCCTTGTACCACATTATTGAAAATTGATATTTTTGTATTATCTCAGTTTTAATTTTCCAAAACATCGACAAACAAGAAGCAAATTCTTAGTTACTGTAAAATCATTAATTTTCGTGGAACATTAAATTTCTTTTATTTCGTGGATAACAAAATCCACAAAATGAAATCCCCCCGAAAACATAAATTTGGTATGATATATAGATAGAGGAAAATCAGAAATCAGTGAAATATAATGTCCTTGAAACAGGCTAGTATATGAAAACCACGAAATTTTAACCCCATGAAAATAAATGATTCTACAGTACTTAGTTCTGGGGCAATTCTAGTCCATTCTCAAATGAAAAGGATTAGTTTAAAGAAAAAGGGAATTCATTGAAGATTTTTATTAGTCTCTTCATTTCTCTTTTTTTTACTATATAAAATTCTTGTCTGCTTCGTAAATGTTACCTACATGTAATTAAAAACATCTTGAAAGTAATATGTACATTTCAATGTATTTACCATATTCACTTTAAGCCCTAATTACTTGACAAATGATAAGACTGGATTTGGATCACCTGACCACAATAAATCAAAAACCATTCTGATTTAAATCTGAATCAACCGTTACACTACAAAATACAAGTTACAGACATGTATTGTCATGGTGATGGCAAATACTAGTTTTGTTCATTTACACACACAGACGATACTGATATCCTCATAAGCTCATGACTGGAACTTAGTGAAATGACTACGGAACATTGGTGTCAAATATACATAACGATTTCTGAAAGGTCAGCCAGTATGTGAATTCTCACAAGAGGTGATGTTTATATGAACGGCTTTTTTGAGTTTGCTACTTATTTGAGTAGCAAATAACTGGTTTGTAGAATGATCATCAAAAAACTTCTTTTCATTGTCATAGTAATGTTGACCTAGCTTGTTTTGGGAGTCAAAATAATGGAAATACATATGCAAGACCACACACTTGTGTTTTTCTAACGAATCAGAAAGCACGAGTTTATTGCGCGGACGAATATATATTCACGAGTGCGCGGAGCATACATCAGAGGGTATTCAAAGTACATTTTTATAGTAATTATAATTCAAGGGAGAGTAGAAATAGATAAAGTTTGACAACAAATAAAATTTCATGACAATAAAATAAGAAATGAAGTATGCGAGTATAATAACATTGTCGTGGACATATAACCAATATAGTACATGTTTAATTACCTGATCGCCATACTGCAGCACTGATAATGACAATCTATCCAAGGTACCCAGGGTAGAACAGGTTTCCAAAGCACTGAATTTCTTGGAAAGAGCAGATTTTTGTCTGGAAGAAGAACGTGACACAGACGTAGATGCTGAACCATTGTCTCCATCCTCTTGTGATGAAAATAAAATCAGTGCCCCCTTACGTGTGGTAAATGTTTTAGGAATGTTGAGTTTGCCGTCAGAGCGAGGGGTGAGGGTACAAGTTAGGGGCTGATCCTTTCCTGAGCGCATAGACATTGTAGTTGAAGCCCTGGGCCCCAGTCCAACTGTGACACCATGTCTGTGAGTGTTCTCTCCTGGCTCTATACAAGGTAGAGACTCAGTATCCTATAACGAGGTATAAACATTTTTTATTACAATATTACAGATCAAGCAATCTGAACTATATATTATATACATGTAGCGCCCTTTCCCAGGGGCTTGAATTACAGAAAAAAACGTTTTATACTAATTTTTTGTATGAAAATGATTTAATTGTTAGTGAATTGATGTATCGGTATTTTTTTTGGCATTTTTTTTGCTACATTTGTATTTGCTAATTATAAAAGAAGCACAATTGAAGGGTGTCCTCAGTGATAATAATAATTTGAGGTTCTTATATACCGCTTTTTCACAACCTAGTTTGTAGGTCATCTCAAAGCGGTAAACAAATTATTATCTGTGGTTATAGGGCCTTTGTAACCACCCAATATCTTTCTCAACTCCCTGGGGAGCATACAGCCGAAGCTGCCATTTCGGCACTAACAGCTAGCATTCAACAATTCTAGCACTGCCCAACCACGTACTCATTTACAGCTGAGTAGACTGGAACAAGCGTAGTAAAGTATCTTGCTCAAAGATACAACACAGTGCCGTGACTTGAACCCACAACCCTTTGGTCACGAGCCCGGAGTCCTACCACTAGACCACTGTGCCTCCATAAGGCTCAGTGCAGCATTTGATATAGTGATTAGCATTTTAAGGAACCCTCCACTACAGCACGTTATATGTTTCTTATCTTTCATCTTTTATTTGGTCTTGTGACATGTTTTGGCTAAAACATTTTTGTTGAATAATTTAGGAATTTCGTTGACTTTAGTATCAATGTTGGACAATATTCATACCAGCAAAATGAAAAAGTGGCTTCGTGTTTATAGAACAAGAGGCCCAGAGGGCCTGTATCGCTCACCTGGATATCAAAGCAATCATGGCACAATATTTTCCAAACAAGATCCAAAGGAATGGGCCAGACCCCAAGGACAATCCTTGTATCCTATCTGTATTAGATTTTTCATGTCCAGAAATTTTATGTATGGTTATGGGGTGGGGATCTCAACTGTTTCAAAGTCATGACCCAGGGACTATGTCTCCAAGGGTGGGGCCAGACCCCTGGGCAATCCTGGAAGCAAATGTGCATTCGTCTCTTCATTTTCAGCAATTGTATATGGTTATAGGGTGGGGATCTCAACCATTTCCAAGCAATAAACTATTTTTGGCCCTCCCCTTTAGCCAAGGGGGTCAGCCCCACTACTTGTACAATTTGAATCCCTGCCTCCCATGAATGCTTCCAACCAAATATGATTGATATCTAGCATAGTTCTACAGAAGTCATTGTAGCAATTTAACCAAATTGCCCCTTTTTGGCCCCGCCCCTCAGTCCCCTGGGGGGTCAGCCCCACGATTTGTACAATTTTGAATCCCCACCACCTAGGGATGCTGCCAGTCAAATATGGTTAATATCCATCACTTAGTTTCAGAGAAGAAGGCGCTTAAAGCAATATAGCCTAATTGCCCCCTTTTGGCCCCACCCCTCAGCCCCACCAGTTGTACAATTCTTAATCCCTGCATCCCATGATTGCTTTTGATCAAATATGATTGATATCCAGTGCATTGTTCTACAGAAGAAGTCATTTGTAGCAATATAGCCAAATTGCCCCCTTTTGGCCCTGCCCCTCAGCCCCCTGGGGGGTCACCCTAACCATTTTGAATCCCCACCACCTAGGGATGCTGCCAGTCAAATATGGTTGATATCCATCACTTAATTAGTTCCAGAGAAGAAGTCGCTTAAAGCTATATAGCCTAATTGCCCCCTTTTGGCCACACCCCTCAGCCCCCTGGGGAGTCAGCCCCACCATTTGTACAATTTTGAATATCCACCACCTAGAAATTCTACATAATAGTATTACTATATATATATATTCAGACTTTCATATCTGTAATGCTAAAACAAAACTGTGATTTTAATATTACATTTGTATATCTACATGTTTATTACATTCTTTAAATTATTATTGCTTACAATGACTTTAAAATGTTATATATATATATATACACATATATTCATTTAATTATTTTACTGAAACAATCAATCTATCAAGTAAAACTAAAATCAATTTTGCACTGAAAATCAAGTAGTTGGTGTTATACATGTAAGTTCAGTAGTATTTAAGATGATTTTTAAATATAAATTTTCCAAGTTCAATATATTGAATTCAAGTTTTACAAATTAATTGGGTTTTTTAAAAGATGATATCTAGCTAATTTAAAATTTAAATGAGATTAGATACCTTAGGACAATTCATATAAATTAAAATGTCAATTAAAAACAAATCAATATATATGTATAGATCTAATTAATATGCTTTTCTTTTCATTTCTTTATTTCTTAACTAAAAAAAAAGTTTTGCTGTATTGTCACTCCTGTTTTAATAATGTTTTTGACACTTTTCTCCATTATAATTGTATTTACTGTGTACTGTAAAAGTCAGACACTTTAAGTTATATCACCTGTTTGCAATTGTCTGTACATGTTTGTGACCAGCTTAGATACTCACTGTGACACCTTTATACGGGTCGTACAGCTCCCCAGACCAGGTTCCATAGCCTCTGGATAAAGGACTGAACATTATCACAATTAAAAATCAACTTCAAAATAAAAAAAAAAAATTATTTAAAAAAAAACTTTCCTATAAACGTTTAGTTTCCATGTAACTTTTTATAACATTTGTTGATTCCATTTTCCCCCATTCTGATCCATGTATCACACGTTTATCCACTTTTTCCTCACAAAACAATGAAGGGAATTTAAGGTCTTTACATGTCCCTCGTATCTCCATCTCTTGTGTTGCTGCACGCTAGCACTTTCACAGCTGACTGACAGCTTCATTCATTATTTACTGCTGACAGGGAAACAAATATAGACGAGTCTATTATCAAAGATGGAAAGGTATATACAAACAAAAGTTATAAAGACACAATGCTTGAATGTGTACTTTCTAATCCTTTTACTTGAGCAACTATATCATAACATATTAAATAAATAAGAAAAAATATCATTTATTGTTATTAAAGGAATCAACATAAAATTCAGCAGCAACAATATATATTTACTTTCCCGTCACTTTTTCCTATAATGGACTCGTCTACTTTCGCCTTTGAGACATGCGCATAGACAAGCACCTGCAACTTCCTCTACTTCCGTCAACGCAAACACCGGCGAAATGGTACGTATATCGTCACACAAAAATGTCTGCAACGATAACTACTGTTTCCTTTCCCTTCATGGCAACATTTTTTCTTGAAAAGCAACAAAACAGAGAGTCTGTGCTTTCGTATTTCATGTTTTTCTTATTCAAAGAACAGTCAAAATTTGCAAAGAGATTCTGCTATGGACACCATCGTATCATCGGCAGCCACGTTGCACAAAAGGCCAAGTTAATTTACGATACTGTTATTTACGTAAGCAACCGCTTATACAACGTGAATTTCAAATAGAAATTTCAAGGAATAACATAATCAAAAGATGTCGATATTACATCCTTGATTTAACATTAAAGATAAAACGGGAGTTTAAACATGGGCAGACCAGGTACAGTTCACGGCACAAGGGGAGTAATTCCCAGTAACACGGATACACAAGTTTATTCTGATCAATATGGATTATATAAGATACACACGATTTACAATAACTCACTAGCATGTATATAATAAAATGCACGAATCCTAAGCAGAACATGAATCCAAATGAAACGTGATGTTGTATATTTCCCTTTGGAATGTGTGCGTGTGATCCCTAAATAAAACTTGCAGGGCTTCAGATTGACAATGCACACACATCATCCCCTCATGCATTATTTTTACTATCATGGAACTTTTTACTCACATCATTGTCACTCTACTACCAACCAAACTTGCGAAAGGTTTTGTTTTAATCTTCATCATCCATACCATTTACATTACGATTGCAAGAACATTATTGGGGCCTATCACCCACGACATACAATGACAATGACGACTTGCATTGCTGGAGTGACTAAAATGATCAAATTGTACTGATCCCGTACCGAAAATGCAATATATGAATCTTCTTTTTGTTGATTATAAGTCAATCCCTTGTAACCTACAAAATGGTGTTTTGGTTAGATGGGAAATTGGAACAATTGAAACCGAGGACTCTACTGACAGAATGTGGCAGATGTTGGTGATAATAAGGCTGCTATGGTTCAATAAATAACCCATTTATCAATATGTGCGAGGTCTGTGTTGCCTTAAAGTTGATTTTTGTTGTCAGCACCTCAAAACTCTCCGATTCCAAACAGTGTCAGAGAATTCCACGTTTTCCACATAGTGTGTTCTGGCCCCACACCATATCTAAGTTACTGTCAAATTTTCTGAGTCGGGTGAAAAGTCTGGTGTCAGGACAATAGGAAACTTGGGCTTATACAAAAAATGATGACACCATTTTATTATAATACTATACTGTCATTTATTTCATTTATATTTAATATCAATGATTCTAGATAATTAGACCGCAATCAATTGTAATGTTATTCAATACTAGCTGTTTGTGTTGTTTAAGTTTTGAATATACATCCACTGCAAGAATACTTGATATTGTTTTTTTTAATGTTTGGCCCATGGTTTTTGGAAATATGACTCATCATTTTCAAGCTTGATGGGTCATGTGGCCCAATGTGGTCAAAAATAATCTGAAACTCTGCACCTGTGATGTTCTGATCAACACTGCATGGTTTAGCATGATAAAGCAAGTGATTGGATGTCCTAAAGAAAGGAAGTTATATTGAAGTTATCATTATTAATCGTGATGTCAGGTCTAAACATATTTTTAGGGCAATCTTTTGAGGCCAGATTATTAGTTGTGTATGGCTAAAGCAGTCTTGTTTTAAGTTTTCCTAAATCTTCCGTCATTTATAGACTCATTGGATTTGTACGAGATCTGCATGTAGCCTACACCTAAAATGCTTTCGACAACACAATCTTGTTGATGAAATATATACGAAACAGTCTGTGTTTATCATGAAAAACATTTAAATGGTATTTATTACTTAATAACACATATTTACATTAGGACGAAACAACCTTGGGCGAACTAGATTAAGAGCAAGACCATTCGCAGTCATAGTAATCATAACAGACAGAAATAGACTTCATTTACGGTAAATCCATTCACAGGAAGCAGAATAGACACAAGAAATCTGGATAGTATCACATACACTGTAATAAATATATATATATATATATTTAAATATAAGCACAAGAAACAAATCTTTAGCTCTTGCAACATTCGTCTGGTACTTTGAATGTAATACTTTGATCATGCCTTCCCAAATCCATGGTAAACATATTATGCTCATTAAATCTGCACTCTTTCCATTAATGAAATCCTTGTCCAATTTGGCTGGTTTCATAAATAGGGTTAAAGCATATGTCTGTCATGATGTTATGTCAAACACCCTTTTGTCCAAATTAAATCATCGGAAAGATATTATTAAGAAAATTGATACTGAATTAGACATTTGGCAGGTAGCTTAAGCCTCATTCATTATTTTCTTCATCCATGTTATGTTGGCAATATCTATGAAATTTTCATTTATGATAACTGCTCTTGATCAGTGCTGTATTTTTTGCGATTTTTCATTTTCATTTTAGTCTTATATTATTTTACATGCAAAAGAAAATGGTAGAAAAATAGGTTAATAAGCAATGTCTGACTTCAGATCAAATTTTATATACCTATTCTATCCCGATTCCTGATTGAATTTAAAAGTAAATTTCCTTTTGCAGAGCGTTTTGATAAAAAATTGAGGCTATTTTATGTTTTTCTTGTAAATTAAATGAATTCAAAAAATCCTGAGTTGATTTCCCTGTGCAGAGCATTTTGATAAAAATTCCATTTGCATAAATAATGAAAGAATGTTTTTATTTTGTTCTTGTAAATTAAATGAATCTTCTAGCACTTCAAAAAAAGAAATAATGTTTCTTGTTTTAAGAAAAAGTTGTTTACCACACAGCTTGATGCTAGCCTAATAAACCTTGAAGAGTAATGCAGACATTCTTTTAGACTACTAGGAAGGGTGTTGTTGAAATATTGACTAGCAACAAGATTCTTTCTCATTCATAGGTCTATGGAAAAACCCATCTTGTAACTGGTACTTTATAGTCAGGCAGTTACATCCTTGTGCCGTTGTGATATTTGAGTCATGGGATACGTGCATTATTGATCAATCACTTCAGCTACTTAAGCAATATACCTCTAATGTCTTAAAATCTGACATGTTTGTATTTACAGACGTTCCAACTGGAATCAATGGCTCGCTATGTGAGTCCAATCAACCCTGCTGTGTTTCCCCACCTGACCGTGGTCCTCCTGGGAATTGGGGTCTTCTTCATGGCATGGTTCTTTGTGTATCCTTTAACAACTGGTCAGAATTTCCAAAGGCCATAGTGGACCGAGCATTGATTACATCATTGTGAAATTTGATAAGCTTTGTCGCTATGACGAATCTTGGGAGGTTTTTTTTCCTGGTAGAAAGATAAGTTTTTCAGAACAGACAGCTGTATGGATTAAGCATATACCACTTCAGTAGCTCTTCATAAAAAATTCCTTTGCAGAACATTTCACCAGAGTTTTTGTGGTTTAAATTATAATATAAGTTGGAAATATTGTGAGGATAATGTATAAAATGTAGCAGGTAATTGGAAAGATTTAGTAACGCCATTTCTACTCTCCCTTGAATTATAATTACTATAAAAATGTACTATGAATACCCTCTGCTGCATGCGTTCAAGGAGACAAAATTGTGAATGTATCTGCAGTGTCATTTAAATGTGAAAATTAAAAAAAAACTGTACTTGTGTAACATAAAGAAAATTTAATAGCTCCCCTACATGTTTTGGTTTTTGGTGATGTCATACTGATATATATTAATCCTTTCACCCGTAGGTAACTTTAGTAGACTCTACCACCCATTTATTAGGATGAGTCCATTATGGTCTACAGTGGTGAAAGGGTTAATCAGGCTTGACAATGAGTAATGTGTCGACTAAAGCAATGCAATGTCACTGATGTTTTGCTTAACCACACCTAGCTATGAAGTGACGTCTAACAAGTTCACAAGAGACCTGTACAAGGAGCTGCTGGTGTCTTTAGTAGCCTCCGTGTTTATGGGATTTGGAGTCATGTTCCTACTACTGTGGGTGGGAATATTCATATAGCATTTACCAAAAGGTAATATATTCTTACTTGTTCCCTTGTTTGTACAATGTAGTTGTAAAGCTATCTAATGTAATATTTTCACATTTTAGCCAGCATATCATATGCATTCTGCAACAAATAATTGGCATACTCATATTTTTTCGTACTAAAATTAAATTACAATATATTATGATATAATAGTTACCAAAACTGACCATTGTAAATTGAGAAATTAATTTGATATTATGTGTACAGATTTCTTTTAATATAAATTAAGCTTTGAGTACATCTTTTGAATATGATTTTTGGTATCAATAGAAAAATATTTGTGTTTTTTGTTTAAAACAGTTCCCAGGCTCAAATATACTTACCTTATAGGAGTTATTCCCCTTTATCTTTTACAGAATCTACAAGTGCAAAGATGTATGGAAGGCTGTGTTTGAGAACACAGACGGATGTATGGGTGGCTGGGTGAATGGACATAGACTGAGACATTTGATGGTTACAGTGTGTTATCATTGTGCATGTTTCATTGTATATAAATTAAAACATTTTTAGTCAAAACATTTTGTTTATTGTTATTTTTGGATATTAGTGGACACAGGCATTGCTGCCTCTATATCTGCATCAATACCATATCTAATTAAGAAAACAAACAATAGCAATTTCTGATAATCTTGTCTATACATTCGTTGTTCCTGGGATACATTGTGCTTCAAGAATGAATGGTTCTTTTTATGCCTCCATAGACGCGTATTCAAGAATCCCATTGCATCAATCTAATGCTGTAAACAGTCACCAGACAAAAACTAACGAGAAAAATGAATTTCTTCCGCAACCGCTAGTTCTATATATTTTATCACTCCCAACTCGTTGGAAAAACCTGCTAGGAGTTGGTAAACATTTTTGGTTACCCAACCACTAGTGGGGTAACACCTGGGGCAAATTTCATTGGTCAATCCTCGAAATATGGGCTAAGTAACAAGCGTAATTGAGTCGGAACATAATGAATCGCAGAATATATAGTTATCAACCTTCTACTTCGGAGACACTTCCAGCTTTGAAACGTTAGCCTCAACACTTCTCCTACTGAGATGCTACGTTGATGTGATGTTTACTTCAGAAGTTACCTCCACACAGTGGAAGTGTTTAGATTGCTTTAAATTAAGAATAGCCTCGCGACAGCCAAACGTAATAGGCAGACTGCCAAATCCGGAAAGAAAACGCAACAGGAGTTACGAACGTTTTAGACAATATTATTGTGTAGACATTTGTTTCGTTCTTACCAGGTATATGTAAGATATAAGCAGTGACCTACTTATTGCAAACCTAACAAAAGTCAAATCGTGCGTTTGCGGGACGGTTCTTTGTATTTGACTGATTCCTTATGACAATAATTTAAATTGGTATTATACAACTAGACCTGGTAACATAACAAAAGCCTGGTGAAGACATGTTTCCTTTTTTGTTCAGTGACATTTACTTTCCGAAATAAAATATCAACAAAATCGTCATCAAACATTTTCCAGAACAGGAGCTTTTATTTCCGTTTCTGACTCGCATCAACCAAGTATCTCACTTCCGGTGTTGCTGCTGAAAGATAAGATGAAAAATATACTATTATCGCCTATTTATAACAGACTGATATGTTAGGAACTGTTTAGGAGTTTTTGAAGGCATATAAGCGAACAATATAAAAAGACAACAAAAGTGAAGGGATTCAAATGGTTCTGATTTTTGTTTGTTTTTGTCGTCCAAGGACAAACCACCATCAATATTTGAATTTTTGAATGGGAAAATACATAAGTGGAAAAATAGACCGACACAGACTATAAGTTATGCACAGTTATACGTCATAAATCTACTGAAATATGTTTTACTATTTATACGGATAAAAAAAACAACATTTTTTAATCCGGCTAGGTATAGTTATACATAATATGCAAAATCTTCGAGACCCGATTTAAGATTACCATCTTTAAAGACGGTGTGCTATATTTAGAAGTCAATCTTCAACTTTTGATATTGATGGAAATTCAAAGTTTTCTACAATTTCACAAACATATTCATTAAATCTATATTTGGTTGATTTTGCAACATGAAAGGTCAACATAACATTATATTTGTAGTCCGTACTTAATTGGCGTAAATGTGGTCATTGACAGCTTGGGAAGTACTTTCGTTGAGCAAATTGATGATCTTGTAACAAAACGTTGTCTGTAAGGATTTTGGTGCAATTTACGGATCCGATAAGATAGATCCTTATTTGATATTTTACTGATCTTTGAAAGGGAAATCCAATATATCAACAAAGTGTCGATACTATATGAGTAGAATGTAAAGCAATGTCCAACAAACCCTGCTCTTTAGATGCAAGACGGTTTTCTCATCAGATACGACTTCGTCTTGTCGTAGAGGCTAAACTGTCCTATGACATCATGTTCAGGTAAAACATGTTTGTTTTTTGACTTTTATAATATTGCACAATTCTTACGTTCTAAGGTCTTTTTGAAGTATCTCTTACCATTTACCTTTCAGAACACACATGTTTCCAACAATTACGCTCAGCTAATCGTAAAAATATTACAATGAATATATTAATAGAGAATGAGTTTTTAGATTAAACTGATTCTTTGGGGGGAAAACCCCCCAGAATTTCGTACTTTTTTGAAGAAATGAGTCAGCATGCAACAGCAGATAACAATGCATTTCTTTTCACAAATATGCAAAATGAACAAAATATATTTTTAGCAGAGTATTATTTTATGGATAACGGATTTCTAGTTAGAATCGTACAGTACTCATTTACATGGTATTCAGCTAATACTAGCCTTCTCTACCCCAGAAGCTATATATAGTTCTAGTTATATACGACATAATTATGTATTCATTGAGATAGATAAAACTATGAAACTAGTGGCGTAACAAATCATTTTTCCGATTATATGCTTACATGGGGTCGAGCGTCCGAGGCGCGTTCTGTAAGGTCATATACATTTTCTCAATTTCACTTTAATGACCAAAACACGAGTTGCCAAACTCCGTCCCCTGCGTTATCAAATTTTGAAAATATCACAACAATGTCCAACAAGTTAAGAGCAATTTGTCCCCCACGACAGGACTCTAAAACTCTAGTGAAGGAAGGGATCTGGATGGCATCAGGAAAAAACAACAAGGAACATGTCTTTTGGCTAAGAATACTTTATCAATAAGTGAGGAAACCACTGAGTAGTTTCTAAAGAATTAAAACAAAACTGAATTTATATGCACTTCATTAAATTCTGCGACCTGAAACCATGGAATGTAAATAAAAACATTGTCTTAAATGGTGCTCATCAAAGAATTTAGCACAAGAGACGGATTTTAATAGAGAGCCAGGTGCGCGACTGTGGGTCTGTCAAGCCGGAAACTGCTAAAAGCAAAACAAAAAGAGCATTGTTCCCTTGTAATCCGCTATGAAAAGTAAAAACCTCGGCAATCGTTGCATAAAAGGACGCGATTGTTCCGTTTGCAATATTTCATTTTCTGAACAAAGCATTCCGACATCTGACCTAAAATGCACCCTCCTAAAGAATGGTCCTAACTTCCTTCTTCAAACTCAGCCGACCACACAGCGGCATATTAGGTGTTGGAAAGTTAAGATATACCAAAACGTCTGCACCGATTGCTGCAATGAAGACAGTAGCATCAATTCAATGCTCTTTGCTGTCCAACGCGATAATCACTCGCTGCACAAGTTTGCGTAAGGAGAAAACAATACCTAGCTGTCATATTTGAATACATATTTCTTGTAGATGAGATTCACATAATTTTATTTCATGATTTCACTGTTAGTAACGTTGCTACTTTAATTACAAAAGTCAACATGGCGTCGAACATTAAATAAAAAATTGAACGGAAACATTTTTGTGTGAAACCGAGACACTGCAAACTTTAATTTAACCGATACGGACCTAGCATTTTGTTCAATGTTGGTGTTGGAATTATGCTAGATGTCTAGATGTCATTTAATTAAATATATATTTTCCAAAATTTAGGAAAGAAAACTACCAATAATAAGATTTGATGATATGGTCTACTTTATTGAAGAATGGATGGTTGATTGTCCACTGGACACGTATTCGTGGATCCTATTGGATCAATCTAATGCCATAAAAAGACCACAGAAAAAATGCCTAACTCGAAACCGAATTTCTCCCACAACCACTATAGGTTCCCTCACCCCGACCCGCTCAATAAATCTGCTAGGAGTTAGTTAACACTGGCAGCAGTTAAGTATGATAGTATACGACCCTTGATAAACCTCGTATCATTATACAAACTGAACTAACTCGAGTTAGATAAAGTGATAACCACTGTCACCGGTTGTTGAACCTCTAGGTAACATAAGAAACAACATTGTAAATGATATTACTAGTCATATAAAATATCACAGTGAGAGAAAACGAACTATAAAGAGATTAATTGGCGCTTCTAATGATGTAAGCTTGACAGCTAATAGGTCTTCAGTGTATGCATCCCGTCCGAACCCAATCAGTTTAAAGACTTCGGCACTCAGATTAAAAGATTAATTGGTACATGTAACTACCAATCCGCGATATCCAGGGGTTACGCTCACTTTCGCTCTATGCAACCCTGGAATATATATATATATAATATATGTCATAGCAAAATTGAAGACTCAGTGTGCGCCGCCTCGTTAATGAGACAAGAAGACTAGTTCGATCCTTTGGTGTACATCAAGAATCTCGCGATCGCATAACAGTAAATATTGGCTAGGTTAGAAGTCGGATGTCTCTCCTTTGTAATCTTTAAAGGACAAGTATCATCCTAGCGATTGGTCAGGTGTTTTTTTTATCCGAGACCAATCAAAAAGCTTTCTTTGTGCCTTCAAATGTGCTATGTCATATTCCAGTTGTGCAGAGAGCGACGCAAAGTATACAATCGTAAGCTACGTTACAAGCGTTATCAAGTCAGAACATAAATAGAACAGCCATAATAATAACATTACACCTTCTACCCAGGAACTTTAAGTTTCGAAATCTAAAATGTTTTCCATCTCACTAGTGTTCTAAAGAAGACAGTTTGTTTTTGTACAGTAACAATTACTTTCTGGAATAAAATAACAAAACCTCAAGTATTCTGAACTGGAGATTTTATTTACGGTTCTCAAATTAACCGACTATCTCGCTGTCGAAGCTACTGCTGCTGAAATATATAATATAGAAAATATTATCATTGCCTATTCCAAGCCTTGATTTATGATTTTTGAAGGCAAATAAGCTTACAATATAAAACTTACATGTAGTACCTTTCGCATTATTGTGTTAGGTTATTCACATTTATAGATATATTTTGTGGTTTTATGCATTCACTTCCCCTAAAGCAAAACGACTTAATGTAATTATTTAAGATATACATAAATACTAATTACTTTAATTTAATACCGTAGGACATTATTGGATATTATGCTTACGTTGTTTGGCAGATAAACTTTAAATGAGCTGTACAATCACCGTCTCCCATCAGATAATTATCAGAGCTCCACAAAAGGAGGCAGCTACCGCCTTGTGCTTGGTCTGGTTGATTCCGACCCCATTTTATGTAGGTTACAAACTCCTCGTCTGTAGATGCCCATCTCCACACGCTTTCAACTTCCTCATCCGTGCCATCAATCCAGTAGTCATTTAATGACGCACCTGTAAAGTGAGTGAACGTCGTAATATTCAGTTAACGCGTTAGATTCACACACTTTTTTGCTGAAGTGATCATATTAATTGTGTCCTATGTATTTTACCTATATCTGCAGTGTTTAAGGCGTATACCGACACAGTCGATAGCTGCCCGGCATTCACCCTATCTGCATGACACGCATTATATCTGCGCTGCAAGCACCGTATCTTCATTGCATATGTCCTATTCGATCTACGTCCGTTACAACCCATTCCTCGTCATCTTCCTCCGATCTTAAGTGATTTGTTTTGGTGCTATTGTTAAAACTAATGATGTTTCGATCACACTATATTACCCTATATTTTGGCCATTTTCATATTCACCTCTTATCAACTTTCGTATGGTATAATCACCTTAGGCATCCACCTCTGGGGCTGACATAGATATCTCGGGTTGATACCGGGAAGGAGATAGAAGTGAACCTATAATACGCTTACTACGTTTTGTTTTTACTATTTACATATTTCGCTTGAACATCTTAGGGAAATAATACTTAATGAGTTAAACGTTTAGAACGCTCTATTGCTTTCATGAAATAGCTCAGCATTTTCTCTCATCACAAATATTACACGCGTGTTATCTTCTCTCAGAAATCCGTATCGTGACGTTACATGAGGGAGAGATAAAGTGATATAATAATACCAACCAGTGTGATGATGTATTGCAGATATTATGTAGTTGTGCTCATTGGCCGACAGAACCGTCGCAAGATGTGAATGGAGAGCCGTGCAAAATGCCTTGGAAAAAAACCCAACAATTACAAAATGTTTTGTAAAGAGTCAGTTGTTACCAGTGTTTTTTTTAATTCCACGATTCGAATGAGAAAAGCAATTTTAATTGCATAACAAAGATTACCCTTTTTAAAAAAAATGTGTAAACGTTACCGATGCTTCACTCCACGAGGTCTTTTCGTGAGAAAACAGGTAACACTTGTTGTTGTAACTCTCCCATCCGTCTCTACAGTTTCCAGACGCTGTATCAGAAATAAAGGTAATGACACGTTATTGCGGAATGTAACATGGTATACGGGTATCTACAGTGAACTGTTAACTAGATACTTGTTATGATAACTAGATACTTGTTATGATAACTAGATACTTGTTATGATTACTAGATACTTGTTATGATAACTAGATACTTGTGATATCCAACTGATTCACTATTAAGCTCATGGCGTCGGGCCGTTGAATAATATATAGATAAGATATTCATGCTTTTTCAAGATTATACGGGTAAGCACAAGCAAGTTATTTATATAAATCAGGGTTGTCAACGGTTAGCTGGTTAGCCGGTCGGAAGACCACAAACCGGTTACCAAAATCAAGTACCAAATAGCCTGACATTTATTTACCCTTATGAGGAGTGCTGTGTTTACCTGGCTTGGACCAACAAATTATCTATAGATGCGACCATAATGTGTTATTCTTGTTCTCTATTGTAAGTATTGACAAGGAGATACCGTAAACACCATAAATAACATGAACACATTTTAAACGGAAGCCAGAGTACAAAGGTGAGGAATATCAACTTTAAGAGTAGAACTTTTACATACGAGTTGTAAATATAATCTGAAAAGTACACCCTAGTTGGTTAAAATTTGTTCTGAAGAACAATATTTCCGCATATGATTTCTACTATAAATAATTGTAATTGAATTCCGCCTTACTGTATTCCAACATGTGTTGCCCATGAAATAAACTTACTGAGATTTCATCTGCACATGAAACTATTTCCTGCGTTTAGCTAGAAATAGGCGAATACATTATCATGCTAATCTAATATATACGGGTATGTTTGCTTACTAAATATTGTGTTAGATGTTGTTTATTGTTGGATAAACAGATTGACCAAATAACCGATTAACAAAATTTGACAACCCTAATATAAAGGCATATATTTCAATATATCATACCAGTGTTGGCTTGATTTGATCCATACTGTCGGCAACCGCAAAGTGGTGCCAATTAAACATACAGTGATACACTATGGTTCTTTCCAGTGGCAGTGTGGAGGACACTACAGTCGACTGGACTCACTGGGAGGGCAATAGCTACCGCCATCAGACGATTGGGAGAAGCTGCAGAGAGAGAGAGAGCATCGTGCTGGCTATTGCACAAACGAGAAGAGCCGATGTGGAAGCCGACATAGACGAGTAGTGGTTTGGCCACCACTACTGACCCACCAGCCGGAGGATGTAGTGATTAAGGGTCGAAACATCTGAAGAGGGCTGAACATCACAAAAACAGCAGTGAAGAACTACAAGTCAGGGATGTCACAAGATGCAGAATTACCATCATCTGTAAGCAATCATTGTTTTTTCTGAGAAATCAGTGACTTCCAGGAAAGGATGGATGGAAACTGGGGAAGACCAGTGACGCTGGAGAGACAGATGGCATCCATGAACGGACTGGAGCAGGGTACATTGTGTCAGCAACTCGGAGTATAGCTACCGCAAGGGAGCACCTATATCAAGCTACAGAGAAAAGAGCAACACCCCCAGAGCCTCCCGAGTGGAGGGGGGGGGATGAGAGGCTCACTCGGACGGATCCAACGGAAACGACCAGGACACGAACAAACACGACGATGATTCAAACAACGTTAAGTGGCAGATGGCAGCATTGGTAACTTGAATGAAGCGAGCGTCCATTGTGTCCAAACAGTGTGGGACAGGAGATTAGACATAGTGCAGTGGCCCAAGACAAACGACGCGGCAGCTTGGCGAAATCTTGACCAGGACCTGGAGGCTATTTTGGAGACCACTCTACAGGGGAATGGGGAAAGGAAAGTAGAAACACGGACGTCAATTGTGTACTGTATATGCAAAGAACGATTCGGAGTGGAAACATCCAGAACACAACCCAGTGCAAAGACAACAAAGGAGAACAGGAGGGAACTTAAGATCAAACAACTACGAAAGGAGCTGAGGGAATTAAGAAAGAGGTTTAAAACAGCACCAGATAGTAAGAAAGTTGGGATACAGCAGCTCAGAGACGACCTTAGGGAGACACTTCGCCGCCTTAAGAAGGAAGGGGAGAGCAAGGAAGAGGGCAAATTTTGTAAAAGATCCATTCCAGTTCTCAAAAACTTTGCCAGGAGCAGAGAGATCAGGCCATCTGGAAACCTCGAAGGAGGAAGTGGAAGCTCATTTCAAAGGTGTCCATTCAGACAACAGGAGAGCAGAACCTTTAGGATATTGTCCAAGAATCCTAGAGGTAGATGCCCAAAGTACTACATTGGATACCAAACTTCTTACCTGGAAAGAGATTCAAGACGTGGTGAAGGGAAGATCAGGATCAGCCCCAGGATCAAGTGGGATAACATACAGGGAATGTCCAAGACTGCTAAGGAGACTAAGGTAATTTGTAAAGTATGGAAAAAAGGGACCATACCGGCGTGCTGGAAGAAAGCAGAGGGTATCTTTGCTCCCAAAGAAAAAGCACATCCGGAAAATGATAATAAGCTACTTCGGAGGGATACAGTTGCGGTTTACAGTTGGGGAGAGCACTACAGCGTGGCAAGACCTGGAAAAGTGAATAGTTACAGGATGTACCATTTCATCTAAACTCTTCATCATGGGAATGAATATCATCATCAAGGCAGCAGAGAGAGAAACCAGAGGACCTAGAATGGAGTCTGGCATCTACCAACCAGCCAATAGAGGCTTCATGGATGGCTTAACGATCACTTCCACCACACATGTACAGGCCAGATGGGTCTTGTCCGCGCTGGAGGAGGTAGTTACATGGGCACGGACGCAGTTTAAACCTCGGAAATCACGTTGCATGATTATGAGGAATGGCAGACTCAGCCGACAGTTTGTACTGAAGGTCCAAGAAGAGGAGATACCTTCAATCATTGGCAGCCCCATAAAGTGCATAGGGAAATGGTTTGATGACACACTTAGTGACCGCCAGAACCACAAGAATACCCAAAGTCAAGTGCGCCAGTGGATGAAGAAGATCCACAAGTCAGGACTTCCTGGGAAGTACAAAGCATGGATATACCAACATGGCATGCTACCAAGGCTCACATGACAGTAGAAGGGTTAGAGAAGATGGTGAATGGGTACCTGCGGAGGTAGCTTGGGGTCCGACCAAGTTTCACATCAGTTGGGCTGTACAGTTTGTTCGGCAGAACTACAACTATCATTCAAATCGGTCGTTGAAGAGTTCAAAGTAGCAAAATGCAGGCTGGTGATGACTCTGAGGGACTCCAAAGACATGAAAATCAGCGAGGCAGGGATACAGACAAGAACAGGGAGAAAGTGGTCAGCAAGCCCTGCAGTTGGTGAAGCAGAGAGTATGCTTGAGTTGAAGGATATCATCGGGAACGCCTGCGTCGGAAGACAAGGAGTTCGCTTCTCTCATTTCCAGCAGTGGGAGAAAGCAAATACCAAAGAAAGACGGCAAATGTAGCAGAAAGAAATCAGAAGGATTGAGGAGGAAAGGAGGAGAGGGAAATCTGTGGAACTCAGCAAACAGGTAGCGTGGACCAGATGGAATCTCCCAGAGAGGAAGATGACGTTGGCTGAAATATAGAGCATGGAGCCCTTCCGGATATCATTCCTGCTTCGATCTGTGTATGACACGCTACCATCTCCTGTTAACCTGCACCAGTGGGGATTGACGGAAGATCCTTGCTGCAAACTATGCAGAGGAAGAGGAACAATGGCTCATATCTTGTCTGTTGCAAAGAAGCACTAAGACAGGGTAGACACCGAATGGGGCACGACAACGTCTTGCGGGTCCTAGCAGATATTCTTAAAGTGGAGGGAAAGAAGAAAAGAACTGGTGTAAGAACAAACCAGTCTGGTATCAAGTTTGTGAAACCAGGATAGAAAACCACAGTCAAGCCTCGAAGCAACTCATCCATCTTGAAACGGGCGCCAACATGGGAGATGAAGGTTGACCTTGCCAGGAAGCTTGTGTTTCCAGGAATTGTGGAAACAACGCTGAGGCCTGACATGACAATATGGACAGAGCAATCCAGACACCTCATCGCCATAGAGCTCACCGTACCAAGGTAGGAAGGCTGCGTGGAAGCCCACTAGAGGAAGAAAGCCAAGTAGGATGGGCTAATGGAAAAGTGCAGGAGCAGAGGATTGACAGTATGGCTCTTTCCAGTGGAGGTTGGCTGTAGAGGTTTCCCCGCACAGTCAGTGTGGAGGACACTACAGTCGACAGGACGCACTAGGAGGGCAAGAGCTACCGCCATCAGACGATTGGGAGAAGTTGCAGAGAGAGAATCGTGCTGGCTTTGGCACAAACGAGAAGAGCCGATGTGGAAGACGACATAGACGAGTAGTGGTTTGGCCACCACTACTGACCCACCAGCCGGAGGATGTAGTGATTAAGGGCCGAAACATCTGAAGAGGGCTGACCATCACCTGATGACGTCAAATGAGGCTTCGCGACAAGAATGACAGCAGTGACGGACTACAAGTCAAGGATGTCACAAGATGCAGAATTACCATCATCTGTAAGCAATCATATCTACAAGTATAGTTATGCATTTCATATTTGCAAACAAGTACAACCCAGATTGAGAATTTTCCATGTAAGAATCTAGCTATATGCCGCATATAACTAAATATGCATACATATGTAAGTGGGGACACTTTCCCGAATGACATTCTGCATAGATTTCTAGCTTCAGGATACGCTTTTTTGAACCTAATAGCATCGATAAAATAGTATATGGGGAGACTGTATATTTGGATTGAAACGTTAAAACTGTTCCTTTTACGCATCAAATCTTCTACATTTTCTATCTGATATTTTGAAAATGATGTTAAGTTTACATGACGTTTAGTGATATTTGTAATAGTGTCATATTGCTTTATGCAATTAACAAATATCTCTCTCAACCACTACTTGACCTCATGACTCGTGGCAATGATTTCCTCGTTCGGAAACAGTAATAATACATCTTAAAGGAATGTGGTTTTCTATATATAATTGTTCTGTCTATATATAAGTCTTTATGTCTGTGTAAAAGTATGACTTTGAATACGTACCTTTTTCAATTTTGGTATACAAAACTAACAACACAAAAAGGAATATCTTCATTTTGTGTTTACGCTGTGTGTGACCTATATTCAGTTCGAATAGACTGTGAGACTGATTAAATAGCTATCTGGTGTTACTCCTATCGTGGGATTCTTCCATGTGCAAGTCAAGTTAGATGTGCACACAAACGTACATGTATATAAATGGATTAAATGCATAGTTATATGTATGCATTTTTGTATTGAAAATTCTGTTTGAACAGAATAGGAATACATTTCAAAACCACATTTATGACAATTCGTAGTGACGAACATAGGAAAATTAACTTATTACACGGGAACAGTGTATCTTATATTATCCCCGATGGGCATATTGTAAACTAGACAATGTCTAAATATGTAACCCTGGTTAAATAAAAGATATTATTATTTATTATTATTATTATTATTATTATTATTATGCTGTTTTATAATCCCTCAAATTCTTCTTATCGACAACGGTGTATTGAAGGATCAACTTAACTATCATACTAACCGCAGAAAATTTACGACAGTTTTCAAGCATAATCTGTCAAAGTTTAATAATAAAAGAAGAAAAAAGAAAAACCCTATTTATAAGGATTGAACGACAAATCTGACATAGTTAAAATAATTATAAAGGAAAAGTTTGCAGCATAGCTTCATTATAAAACGATAAAAATCCACACTCCCAGAAGTCTGTTCCGACATTTTCTGCCAAATAGCACCGGTCATGATGTTCCTTGTCAATTCTAAGATTGGTCGTCCCCTGCGCACATTGAAATACTATAATTTGAATTATGTCATGATATCATGATTTTCAGCAGGGAAATTTGAAGATTCCCATCAGAAAAGCATGACTGAAATCAAAGTGAAATTGATGAATTTATGAATTTTACATATCTGAAATAGTGTATTTGAAATCTTTTGATTTCTCGGTCAACTTGAACACACAGTACGATAATAATGGTCAGAACACTACCAAACTATGTAAGATTTACCTACATTACGATAATAATGGTCAGAACACTATCAAACTGTGTAATATTTACCTGCAGTACGACAATAATGGTCATAACCCTACCAAACTATGTAACATTTACCTACAGTACGACAATAATGTTCAGAACACTACCAAACTATGTAACATTTACCTACGGTACGACAATAATGGTCAGAACACTACCAAACTGTGTAACATTTACCTGCAGTATGACAATAATGGTCATAACACTACCAAACTATGTAACATTTACCTACAGTACGTTAATAATGGTCAGAACACTACCAAACTTTGTAATATTTACCTGCAGTACGACAATAATGGTCATAACCCTACCAAACTATGTAACATTTACCTACAGTACGACAATAACGGTCACCTCACTACCAAACTATGTAACATTTACCTACAATACGACAATAATGGTCAGAACACTACCAAACTATGTAACATTTACCTACAGTACGACAATAACGGTCACCTCACTACCAAACTATGTAACATTTACCTACAGTACGTTAATAATGGGCAGAACACTACCAAACTGTGTAATATTTACCTGCAGTACGACAATAATGGTCATAACCCTACCAAACTATGTAACATTTACCTACAGTACGACAATAATGTTCAGAACACTACCAAACTATGTAACATTTACCTACAGTACGTTAATAATGGTCAGAACACTACCAAACTATGTAAGATTTACCTACATTACGATAATAATGGTCAGAACACTATCAAACGGTGTAATATTTACCTGCAGTACGACAATAATGGTCATAACCCTACCAAACTATGTAACATTTACCTACAGTACGACAATAATGGTCATAACACTACCAAACTGTGTAACATTTACCTATAGTACGACAATAATGGTCAGAACACTACCAAACTATGTAACATTTACCTACAGTACGACAATAATGGTTAGAACACTACCAAACTGTGTAACATTTACCTACAATACGACAATAATTGTCAGAACACTACCCAACTATGTTACATTTACCTACAGAACGGTAATAATGGTCAGAACACTACCAAACTATGTAACATTTACCTACAGTACGACAATAATGATCAGAACACTACCCAACTATGTAACATTTACCTACAGAACGGTAATAATGGTCAGAACACTAGCAAACTATGTAATATTTACCTACAATACGACAATAATGGTCAGAACACTATCCAACTATGTAACATTTACCTACAGTACGACAATAATGGTCAGAACACTATCCAACTATGTAACATTTACCTACAGAACGGGAATAATGGTCAGAACACTATCCAAATATGTAACATTTACCTAGAGTACGCCAATAATGGTCAGAACACTCCCCAACTATGTAACATTTCCCTAGAGTACGACAATAATGGTCACCTCACTACCAAACTATGTAACATTTACCTAGAGTACGAAAATAATGGTCAGAACACTACCAAACTGTGTAACATTTACCTACAGTACGGTAATAATGGTCAGAACACTACCAAACTATGTAACATTTATCTACAGTAGGACAATAATGGTCAGACAATACCAAACTATAAAGGAAAGCTTACTACAACCTTGACTTTTTGTAAATGCTTTTCGATATCTTATATATCTTTAATTTTTGTTGTTGTGGTGTTTGCTCTATTCTTGTTATGTGGTGCATCGTTATGGAATTTTCTCAGTTTTATTTGTTTTGATATTTGCTGGCTTTCTGTTGTTTCAGATTTTCTTTAATTTTGGCTGTTTTGGTAGCTTTCCGGTTCTTGTTGTTTTGATATTTTCTCGGTTCCTTTTGTGTGATTTATCTTCTTTTAAAATGAAGATCCTGTTATTGTTCCGATTTTGTCCGGATTTGTTGATAACATGATAATTTTGTTCTGTCATTTAACATCCGTACGACAATGCTTATTCTTTTAATGTTCTCTGTTGTTATCATTAGAGCATATTTGAAAGAGTGTCATGATTTGAAATTCGTGACGGACGATTCTTGCTAATGTAACACTCTCCCGAACCACGCATGTTTGCCTCCTATTGTGTCCTTTGATGTCTTGTTGGAATGTTTTCTTCTCCTTTTGTTCTCCCTTTGAACTGCTCTTGTTTTTATCATTTCATGTTTACGCTGTGGCATGGTTTGTCCCGTGCTATATGACGCTTTAACATATTATATTTTGCTGAACTGTCGCTATGGTATGCTTTATTCTCGTGCATTGACAATGTGATAGATTTTGTCCCTTCGAGTGGACGCTGCGTTAAATAGAGTTAGGTATATTTTATCCTTGTGTTTTGACGCTATAGTATATTTTGTCTGTGTGTTGATGCTGTGCTTAATACTGTCATTTTATATTGACGCCGTATTATCTTTTATCCTGTATTGATGCTTTGGTATATCGATTTGTAATTTTACTTCAAAATGCCAGGTTTGTTATGTTTGTAAAATAAAATTAACCAGAATATTTCAGTAGTTATCTATTTGTTTTCCTATAAATAGCTAAACTGTGTTATATAGAAGTAAACATGATATTGCTCAATACGTTTAGAAAACGGTATTGTTTTTGTTGATGCTTTACTAAGCGTCAACGTCTTGCGTCTGTAGTTCATTATACGCAGTATTGGGAAGCGTTCGTGATATACTTACTGTTATTCTCACATATAATTTGCAATGTTAGTGTAGTATTTGTATAAAGCCTGTTCACTGGCGAAGACGCTAATCCTACGATTTTGCCATTGCTTTCAATCTTGTTAAATGACATATGTAAATTTACAAACAAGCTTCGTCTGCCTTCGTCTGCCTTTTTAATTCTGACCCTGGTTTCCGTGACTGTGGTTGGTAAAGAAGCTATTGATATTAACTTAAAATGTTGTTTTCTAACACGTTTACATAAGGTACCGTCATTATAACATACATCTTGTCATATTAATTCCTTCATAATGCATACTACCCTCGAAATTACAGGGATCACATTCTCTTTCGTTCTCTGCACCGAAAGAATATATCATGACAAAATTAAAAGCTCTGTACGCGCTTCCTTGTGGATTATACAAGTAGACTTCTTAAATTCTTTGATATACATCGGAATAATTTAGCGGCTGAAAAGCGGTGAAATCTACTTGCCATGAACCCTGTTGTCGGTCTTCTGTATTCTTCAAACGACAGGTATTAGCCTAGCGGATGGCCAGTACAGCACACCTTCGATTTTGTCATGACATATTCAAGGGGAAGAGGAAACAAGTGAGCATAACTGAAAAGTCGAGATATATGTCTTACATTTCTCTATTCCGTCTTTGCATATTACAGAGTTATCTTCTCTTGGGAGCAGGTATTGATTGTTACGTCACTTGTTTGTGAGAGTAACGTCATCAATTTTTGAGAAAACGACTTAATTTTTTCACACAAACCAATGACGTAACAATCAATCCCTGTTCCCAAGAGAAGATAACTCTGCAATACGCAAAGACGGAATAATGATAACAGTTACTTGGTATTATTGACCTACGTGTAAATGCAACGGAAACGGCGCAGTTCGTGTGTCTCCGTTAAGAATGGAATTATAATAGACTTCTTTTGGAAACATTTGTAAAACGTGACCTAGGTTACATCGCTAGCATTACATTAAAGATTACAATCAGTACGGTTACATATACACTCTTATTGGATTGTATCATATTCGTTCCACCCTATGAAGCCGTATTTAATTATAAGATAAATTTGATCAGAAAACAAAAGAAACAAGAACATCACTTATATTGGTCACAGTGACCTACTTTATTGATATTGGTTCCTTTCACATATAAAGTTCATTCTTTCCTTCAAAAATAATTTCAAATACATATATTTCTATACACATTTACAAACAAGAACAAGATAATGTTTAATCACAGAATTGTACGTAAACCTCTGAAAACATCAACGAAACTTTAATGGAAAAGAGAAATTCAAACAACATTTCCTGAAATGAATAACTAGATGGATGTCCAGGCCATACCAGTTATCTCACACTGTCACCCACCATTTGGTTACGTTCGACAATGTATTCATTTGTCTAAACCGGAAATAACGACAACCATTGCAGTAATATGAATTAAAGAGACTTCTTCTTAATGATATTCATGTGTATACACAACAGCTTGAAAGCAAATACATCATAACGAAATAATATCGCTCTAACAATCACAGTAAAAGTGAGTATAAACAATTAATACAGAAGGGTAATTCATAGACATTTTTACGTCAATGACATTTCACTAAAAACTACACAAACTCCTATTCTAACTTGAACATTTTACATATATATATATAAATAAAGATGGAAAAAATATTTCAAATGAACCTCATAAATTGTTACACTTGCAATTTGAAATTTTAAAGATTATATTTGGAGTTTTTGGATATAACAAGCAAAATTTAGTGAATATCGATGGACGTAAATAGAATTACACTACAACGAGATGTGAATTTCCAAAATATATAAGCAGGAGAAAGGAAATAAACAAAAGTATTTGATTTGTTTTATCATATTTACTGCCAACACGTTCCCATGCACTGTCAACAATTATAGGTACTCAAAGCTAATCATCCACATTATAAATGCTATTATTAAACAGATATAGACATAAAATCATGTCTTATGATTTGCGAATATATTTGAACATGTCGTTGCTTGCAATTCTATTCTACACTTTAATGGTAGTTGTTGCCCTTTCTTGCCTTTCCCCTTGTCCAAGAAAGCAGAATGTATGGCAGTGACCAGCTCTTACGAATAAACACGTACACGATGACCACACATATAGGTCTAGTGGTCCTTCTCACGTACCTGCATGCTTGGAATGATAAACATATATACCCTATTACAGTGTGTAGCACCCGTGCGAAAGCAGGCTTGGATACAATGACACAAACGACGGTCCATGGCATACAGCAAAGCTATATATTACCACAGACAATACCATGGATGATAGTTATTTCGAACGGAGCAACAGCAGATGACGTTTTATATAGGAATGGCGTGAAGGATGATACGAGGTGTCTGTCTAATAACCCAAAGGCGTGTACCAAATTTAGCACAGCTATTCAAATTTCACCATTGGATTTTGGTATTTTCACCAGAGCATAATCAATCTCATCTAGAACCAATTCAGCAATTTGTATGTGAACTGTTAATATCAAAAATCAATTCAAACAACCAATACACTTCAGTGTGATGACGACATACTGGGATAACGGATAAACACTTCAAGGATTTGTCTTTATGAGAAAATATTGATTTTATTTAACTGTTTGACATCAAACTCACAGATATGCCTTAGCCTTAAAAGTCAGTCATCATTTTCTGAGATAATGCCACATAGCAATAGGTTTCCTTAGTGACGTCATCATTTGGTTCCAATGAGACAGCTCTGTACCGGAAGTGTTTGCTCCAACTATGATGTGACCGAGAGACGGTGTCCGGTTTTCCGGAATAGCCTCAGACACGGTAATCCTAAGCTGGACAGTCTGGAGAAACAACAAATATATAACATGTGTGCGAAATACTTTAATATAAAGGGAGATTATCTGGTCGACTACGGAGGTCGTGTACATGCTAGAACTGGCGAAAGCTTCTAATAAAAAAAGAATCAAGAAGAACCATTGCTGTATTAATTTGACACATATTTCATATATTGCATTATTTTTGGTTTGATTGATATTATTATCTTCATAATAATCATAAGCAAAAACATAACAAAAATGCATCAAATTCTATCCTGTTTATTTTTCTTAGTTCATTTTAAAACTATTGCTGACACAAATATGAATCAACTAATTACACGATTGTTTCTAAAGAACAATCTTTTACATTTTAGAACTATTTCAATCTACTATATTCAAGTATAAAACATGTTCTGTTTTAATTTCACGATCAACAGTGAGTACGGAATGGAGAAGCCGTGACATTATTGTGAAGATCAAACTGATATTATTTTTAAGTCCTTCAATTGAACTTATGGGTAAGGCCGTGAAAGGTACTGAGAATATATACTATCTGAAAGTAGTTATTACGTTCTTCAGTTGAACTTACTGGTAAGGCCGTGGAAGGTACTGAGAAGATCATAGCCTCGTTAAAGGTCGGGTGTCGCTCGCGTCTCTTCACTGAGGTCTTCTTCTTACTGACCTTCCTCCCGTTCTGGAGGAGGTACACCTTGACAAAGGTATCTGTGGAGCAGAGAACCATGTTTTAAAAATTCAGACGTAACTGTGAAACAGAGAACGATATCATAAACATTCTGATGTATTTGTGAAACAGAGAACGACATTATAAACATTCAGACGTATCTGTGAAACAGAGAACGACATTATAAAAATTCAGACGTATCTGTGAAACAGAGAACGACATTATAAAAATTCAGACGTATCTGTGAAACAGAGAACGATATTCTAAACATTCAGACGTATCTGTAAAACAGAGAACGACATTATAAACATTCAGCCGTATCTGTGAAACAGAGAACGATATTCTAAACATTCAGACGTATCTGTAAAACAGAGAACGACATTATAAACATTCTGAGGTATTTGTGAAACAGAGAACGACATTATAAAAAATCAGACGAATCTGTGAAACAGAGAACGATATTATAAACATTCAGACTTATCTGTGAAACACAGAACCATATTATTTACATTCAGACGTATTTATGAAACAGAGAACGAAATTATAAACATTCAGACGTATCTGTGAAACATAGAACGATATTATAAACATTCAGACGTATCTGGGAAACAGAGAACGGCATTATAAACATTCTGACGTATTTGTGAAACAGAGAACGACATTATAAAGAATCAGACGTATCTGTGAAACAGAGAACGACATTATAAACATTCAGACTTATCTGTGAAACACAGAACCATATAATTTACATTCAGACGTATCTATGAAACAGAGAACGAAATTATAAACATTCAGACGTATCTGTGAAACAGAGAACGTTATTATAAACATTCTGACGTATTTGTGAAACAGAGAACGACATTATAAACATTCAGACTTATCTGTGAAACAGAGAACGATATGATAAACTTTCTGACCTATCATTGTAACAAAAAAACACATATTATAAATTTTCTGACGTATCTGTGAAACACAGAACGATATTATAAACATTCAGACGTATCTTCGAAACAGAGAACCATATAATTTACATTCAGACGTATCTATGAAACACAGAACGATATTATAAACTTTCTGATGTATAATGATCAATAGAAATACGACAAAATGGAGCCAAACACAGTATTCATTTTGTCCGCTTATGTCTCATCAGTAATACTTAATTGTTGAAAGAATGAAAACTCCATGTCTTAAGTGTTCCAAAACATGTGTACGGTACAACGAAAAGGGCAAAGTGTCTCTAAGATACCTTATTATGTTACAGGTTTACATCTTGGCTTCAACAGATGATTTATACTTAAAGCGCAGTTTGTATGTAAACAATGCCTGAATAAATCCAGGCAGAGCTAACAACCTTGTCATGTTAAATAATGAAATACGAAGAACTGAATCACGTATATGTAAAACAAAGGATGTAACCAAATGGAATGAAATATATTAAAACAATAGTTTTTCACTAACACTGTTGCCAAATCATCATTGCATTACATTATTTCTGAAGCAAAACGTTATTAAACACTCACTTTCCTGCAGAGAAAACATAACTGAATTACGACTGTTGTTATGGAAATATGCAAAGAAGATAATCGCTTTACATGACTTAGAAACGTAACAATGTGAAAATCAATTTCTAAGACTCGTCATTTTAATTATTCACTTCTTGGTAATTATTTTTTTTCACTTTTCAAAATCCGTTTTGGCCTCCCATATTCATACCTGATATAACGTGCTAAAATCAGATTACGGTAGTTCAATTATAGGCATTTCCATTTGAGTAAAACAATGCCATACATAAGGGTCTACTGATTGACCTAAACGTACATCACTAAAATGGTGTTCTGTAATCTTCCTTAAAGTGCTACATGTACGTCATCAGAACTTTATTCCTGTTTATTTGCACAATTATGTTAAGGAGGCTCCGCCCCTTAGCAATTAATCAGCATAATTCATAATGGTTATGCAACTATGTTGAGGTTATGTTTATGAAAATTGAAGCATTTCGATATATTGGGTTTCATCCATATACCCTATTTCTTTCTTCTTTAATTATTTTACATTTTATCAATTGATAAAATGTTTCATTACTATAATTATCTCCTTTCACATACATGAAATCTGAAGGAATTCAATTAAATATTGACATCAAAATGGCACCATTGACTTAATTGCACATAAACACAGAAACAGAGGTGAACAAATACAAGTATAAAACTGTGTTTTTTTTCAAACATCATAGAGTCAGTACGCTTCAATATTCGATCTCATGAACTGGTGTAAGAACGTGATATGTACATCTGAGGCCGGTACACACAACACATATGTCCGCATTCCATACGCTTCATATATGAATTTCTTGAAATCATCTGGTATCACGGTACTTTTGCTCTCCTAGTGTCACTATCATCTACACTTTGGCATCGAAATTCTCGACACACAATACGGAAAGGACGACACGAAAATACGACAAGAAAAACAAGGATGGAAAGTCCTTACATAGTGTAAAAATCTTTATCTTTATGTAAAAGTCATCTTTATCTTGCAAAATGAAACATAAAACTAACTTATCTATATTGTAGAAGTAGACATGTTTACCATTAAACTAACTTCTAAAGATATGACCTTTGCGACAAAATGACACTTCGACTCACGCCATCAAAAAGAATGCAAAGCTTGAATAGAAAAAGAAGAGACCGTATACTTGTTTAACTATGAAAAACAATATTCTCTCTAGGAAAACATGATAACTTATATTTAATATAAAACATCATCATTGGTAAAGAAATAAATCCGAATGAGTCATACACAAAATATGATAAAATAAACCAATGAATAACTGCTGCCTCCTAAGATCATCCAGATGTGAATATGATACTCGTCGATCTATCTGATACGACACATGGAAACTAAGTAAACATAACTCGGTTATAAGTCCTGTAGCATACATTCCCACGATACAATGCCTTTTCTAACGTTTGCCCTCCAATGAATCCTGCAGAATCCTCGCTTTGTGTAAAATTAGCATGTTTATCATAGAACTTACATCTATTTACAATATATAGCAGTACTAGCAAGTCGCAATGATCGCTCTTCAATGGTGCTACCATGGATCAATGGCTGCTGACTCCGAGAACAACATTAAGATATAAGTGCTCCCTAAAAAGACATTGTCTCCCAAAGATAGCTCCATTGTGTATCGTTCTCGTGGTTACATTTCTCATTTACCGAAGTTTGTGCTAGCGCTGGGTCCCCTAGCGACAGCACTGCGACCCATCCCTTCCAGTCACACCGCTTATACATCTGACTTAGCTACCGTGTGACATACGCATAGTAATATATCTGTTCAAGTTTGGCTCTTTGCCATAAAAGAGTAACGACTTGCTCACATGTATGTTTTTGTCTATTTATCCTAACTTTCGGAAAATTTATCAACTTTAATGATAATAGCATAAAGAAAAGAAACGATTTTGCGAAATTAGTGTTTGATGATATTAACATGCTATGGAAATTCGACAGCCGGTTTGTCCGAACTGTCTACAATTAAAGAAAGCACCAATATACAATTTGTATATAATCGAAGTAGATGCACGTTTCCTGGACATTTGTTAGTATACATAACGTGTAGTGAGGTGACAAAGAAGGCGACGGCGCTCCTTAAAAAAGCTTGTTGCAGACGAATGTCATGAAGCAACATCTATTATGAAAACTTCCACCGTCAATTATTCCCTGAACGACAACTAGTGTCGTCTATTGCAAGAAATACGCAAAATTATTAAAAAGCGCTATAAAGAAACCACAAGAGAGTTAATAAACATGACAAATAATGGAAAGATCAATTTCCGTTGTCTTAAAATGTTTATTACATTGATAGGAAGGTCGATTTCACAGAAATAGTCTTGATGATATTTCAAATATCGAAAAAAAACCCCAATAAGTAATGACGAACACATTTCGGATTAAGACGTTTTGCAATGAACAAACATTAAAGACAAATACATACATGCACGCCTTATATAGTCAGTTCATATAATTTTGTTAAATTATAATCAAAGTAGAATATTATTGCACGTCGTAAGACAATATTTCAAATATAACTTCATTTTTATGCTTTTCTACATCAGTTTATCGCCAATGTGTTTCGACATACATCTATAGTTTACACGTTTTAATAACATATATATAATGTTTACACATTTTGAGTCACACTTGCCATTAACTCATTTGATACCTATCTAACGTTTACACATTTTGAGTCACACTTGCAATTTACTCATTTGATACCTACCTAACGTTTACACATTTTGAGTCACACTTGCTATTAACTTATTGGATACCTACCTAACGTTTACACATTTGAGTCACTTTTGCTTTTGACTCATTGGATACCTACCTTACGTTTACACATTTTGAGTCACACTTGCTATTAACTCATTGGATACCTACCTACCGTTTACACATTTGAGTCACACTTGCTTTTAACTCATTTGATACCTACCTAACGTTTACATATTTTGAGTCACACTTGCTATTAACTTATTGGATACCTAACTAACGTTTACACATTTGAGTCACACTTGCTATTAACTCATTGGATACCTACCTAACGTTTACACATTTTGAGTCACACTTGCTATTAACTCACTGAGTACCTTTTGTTAAGACATTTTGATACGCATCTAACTGTAACACATTTTATTGACAAATCCCTACCGTTCATTGTTGAACAAATATCTAACGTTTTGACACTTACCTAACATACCTTTCAAAACAAATTTACACACACTTACAGTTAACACATTTTGACAGGTATTTAACGTTTAAGATTTTAACATCCATATACATTTAACAAATTTTGACACACACTTGCCTTTATGTAACATTCACAAAACTTGATATATACCTTCAGTTTACACCTTTCTCAAATTTCGGGTATTATATTATTTCATTGCCTTGATTCCGTTGAGGACATACAACTGTGGTCATTTAGGGCCATGGCGATTTTGTTTTGGATTTTTTTTAAACAAACATGTGAGTAGCGAAGATTAAATCAGATTTAAAGGTTCATTTTAAAAGCATTCGCATTGTTTGTGCAGATAATGAAAATTGAAAGGGGTTTAAAATAATAGAAGAGATAACGAATAGATGATATGGACTATGTGATATATATATAGCGTCAAAAAGGGTAAGGTGGGTTAAAAGACATCAGAGTTAATACAATAGACCGATGTCTTTCAAATAGTTAAATAATGCCTCCGAATCCACGGAACTAAAAAGAGTTTTCATATCCGGGACTCGAAAGTAGTTATCACGAATGTGTTTATATTCGGAACATTCTATTAAAAAAAGTGTAAATGGAGTGTCAATGTACAATCTAGTACTAAAAGGTTTAAGCATGCATGCATTCCATGGCTTGATGCCGACACATATTTAAGACAATCAAGGTACTCCACAATAACGAGTGGTACAAACTGTGAAGTAGTTATGTAAACTGCAGACAGAGCGTTATTATCATTGTGATTGGGTTCCTGTCCTGTTGTTTATAATCAACACGGTTGGCCCATGAAAAGGATTTCAGAATTTAAACGAATACAGCTTTCCACCTTAGTAGCCGTCATGGAAATAGGCGGAAAACAAACGGAGGGCTGGTGTTTGGAGACACGATGCACGCAATGCAAGACAGAACGGAATCGCATATTTGACCCTGATTGTCAAGTTTTGAAAATTAGGTGCGTGCGTTGTTTATCACCAAGAGAGATGGTTCCATAGTGTTTAAATGGACCCAGTAATGGACTGGATCAGCTAATCTGTAGAGGACGAGTATAACCACAATGTCTTATCAGGAAAAACACAATGAAATATGCATTCCGTGTAGGCTTCCTTGGTGTGTGAGTGGGCCGCGCGCCAGTAACTATTGGCAGCCATGTCGGATCCGGTCGATATATGGCACCGATCACACCAGAGTAGCACCGAGTAGTCAAAGAGAGAAATAGCCAAGTAAACAAATAGTGTCAATTCTACAGGCACCATCGACCTCTCTAAATTTAATCGAATTTTTCAATTTTAAAGGTAGCATACTATCTATTCGTAATCAAAATCTCACTATTAAACCGGTAACATTAATTCTCAGAAAGGTAACGAAAATAATACATTATTGTCAATGCACAAGATCCACGAAAGACACTATGAGACTCTTAAATAGAAAAAGAAACATATAAATCCTGTACGAAATCGGACATTACAATAGGTTCAATGAAAACAGATTCAGAAATTACACGCCTTTTTGTGATTTCTGAGTTTATTCTTGTGATTGAAATGATAAAAAGAAGATACTATTTTATATCCAGGAGTGTAGGACAAGGAAATTTCATCCTCGGGAGCCTCAACTCAAATTTGTGCAAAAATCTCGGCAAGCCATAAATGGCATTCGTCATGATGTCTCCTTTCAAATCCTGCGATGAATGCAGATCATCAAAGATCCAAGACACAGAGGGCGTGTCAGGTGTCAGGTAAAGAAATACAAGATCCTGGAGCAGGTAAATAAATCTGACGGATACATCAATATTTTGAAAAGATTTCAGAGCAGAATAACGTATAAAGAAGCATCAGGTCACAAGTAGAGGTCTTGAAGCTGTTTCGATGGTGAGGTAATTTTGGTTTCCGTGTGATATAACACTGGAACAATATAGGTAAAACAGTACCAAAAGGTCAGCGTACAATTAACATTAAATTTCAAATTAGATACGAAAATAATATGATTGGTATTTAAGAGACATCAAATAATTAAAAAAACCCACATAATTAAAAAACCGTCTGGAGCTTGTATAACCTATATCACCTAAGGTTTCATAGTGTTTTATGGTATGTTTTGTTGTTATCATAGAGATTTCATACTTTGAAATGGTCGCCGAGAAATGTATCTGACGTGCCCAGGAGCTGTATGGTGGATAAATGTACTTGCCAGGACAACTTGGCCCACTCCGAGCCTCAATCGCATTACTCGTCAATCATGGTGTCTATACCTTTTCTAGATTAGGAATCCTGAGGCTTATATTCAATGTAGAATTATATCTCTTTAGGGAATAGCAATATAGTTATTAGACACACGCACGTTCCATATGATCGAGACATTATTCAGACACAGTGCATGCTGGGATAACGCTCATACAGCTTGCCTTTCACCAAATAGTCCGGGGTTCGACTCCCAAAGAGTGATTAATATAGGTTAAAAACAATCTTACTCCATAATTATTGCAAGATAAATCTAGTTAACATTGTACAATGGATATAATGAACCTCCCCTTTTGTGTCAACAGGACTTTAGACCGATTTTGATTTCTTCCTTTTTAGTCCCTAGTATTCTAGTGTCCATGATTACGTAAAAACAACAGAGTTTTTATCGTCAATCTCATTAAATGTTTCTACTCCCAGCTGAATCTTTGTCGTCATGAGATGTGTTTAAGTAGCCCTGGTTTTTCGTGAGAAACATTTAAGTCACCGTAAAAAGCGAATTCCAATATCCGTGATTTAGTACTCACCCCCTGAATCTTTGTTGTCGCACCATTTGAGGTTCCTGGCCTTGACCACGACTACGGTAAGACGTTGAGCAGTGGGGAGATAACTCAGGGAAAACATGATGTCACCAAACTCGGTAGGTTTCTATACAATACAAAAATAAAATAAAAATACCTGATTATGATAAATTATGCTATTTTTATTATTGCTAGCCAACACATCAGTCGATATAGTTTGTTTCGTCATTATTTTTTTTGATATGCATTTCACTGATATATTTTATATAATCTATAATAATTCGATTGTCCTATATCTGTGTTATACGGATTTGTGATGGATTTAATAGCAATTTGCTATTCAATTTGTATTTGCTATCGTAACACTGTCGTCTGACTATTATGCCTTTTGCACTGAAATGTATCTAATGTTGGTTTTGATTTACATGTATCAATGTTAGGACAGTAAAAACAGAACTCTGTATTTAATTCTGAGTCCTAAATTTATGGAACTCAATTGGATACAGTATCTTCTACTTAATCATTACTGTACAATTGTAAGTTTTACAACGGTCCCGGGCAATAGTTATTGCAGCTTGTATTTACTGTACATTTGTATGAAATTGTAAATGACATGTTTTTTTTGTGCAATTTTTGTCGCCTAACTACCACGAGTGAAGATTACGCAGGGACAATAGACCGCCATATTAAAAAAAACGTTTTGTAAAAAAACCACCACAACGATATACCAAAGCGTCAACAAAAAGTCATCCAAAAGTCAAAGATACACTTTTCACTCATGTTGTTATAAAATCCCTTTGTAGAATCTAACAAAAATAACAAACAGTAAACAGTCTACGATGTTGTCACCTCATACCGATTTAGAAGGGATAAGTTCAAAGCCAGACAGGAAGCTTTGTAATCAAAGGTGATTGATTACCGGAAGGCCGATTGCGAAGTGATTACAATGACGTCATAATTAAGTGACTTGTATCCGATTACCGGCGGAGCAATCTGTCTGATTAGTAGAGACACAGTTGACAATAGTAAGGCTGGAACATTTCATACGCCTACACACCGACACGCGTACACAGGAGCTGTCATACTGTCTCATCAGATCTAGCACCTCACACAAAGTGTACGCATTTATATATATATAATAAAGAAAAGATTGATGCCAGAAAACTGTGGCAAGCAAGCATGAACCTTCGTTCGAAGTGTGAACTGAAATCTTTACGCATTCCTATACAATTTATTGTCATTGTGCTGCAGCATAATCCATATCACCACAGTGATATTTTCTAACTCTGTTCTGTTCAGTGCAAGTCATCGTCTGAGAGTAACATCAACAATGTAGGTTAACCTACAATTTTAGAACATCGCAAAAATATCTATTCAAAATCACGAGAAAATGCAGAATGTAACTTGTATGAAAAATAACTATGATACAATAACTATAATGTTCCTTAAGTACGATGATCGCACTGATAGTACTAACTATGTTTACACGTTTTAGCGTATAACATTATTATTAAACACTTACACATTCATGGTTTCCTGTCAATAGTATCTCATTTATGTCCCACATCGATGTGATGTCTAATAATGAGTTTAATTCTGCCATAGATTTGAGCCACAACGTAAATTGAACCAAGCTCTGCTGATATAGCTTAAACCATATTTACCCTAGCAGAGTTAGTGTTAGGAAGTGACTAGCATTTTACCAGAGTGACATTATTTAATGTCGAAGAGAACAGAAACTTAACACACACACATTATTTATATAGTAGATAATAACGAAACAATCTCTTGGGGATTTTTTTTGAATCAAGCAGTAGTTGAATTAGCTGATTTCGTACCTCGTCAATGTCTCGGAGATTAAGCCACATTTTGATGGGAATGCGGAGGTCTATGTCACCGACCCTGATTTCCGACTCGCCAATGACCTTGTGACGAGCGTACTTGTCTACAGAGAAAACTTGGAAGAGAATGGTTCGACTGTCCAGGTCCTCGGGCTCCACTCCAAACAGGAACCTCTCCTTAAACACGGGATCTGTCGAGTTCTTCTGTATCTGTTGACATTAAAATATATATAGAAATGTATCGGGCTAAATCTCGTTATCTTGAAATAGGTTTAACCATGGCAGAATTTCGAGATATAAATTAGTATTTGACACATCCATGGTATAATATTTAGCAACATGATCAAATCATGAAATCCTTATACCGGGATATTCAGTTCATGTTCGAAGAAACATTGTTGATCTGCATTTGGATAATTCGGATTTTGTTACATCAGTTGGGAAAAGTAATTGGAAATGGTTTAATTGGGTCTTTTACAAGTTAAAGGAATTTGCGAAGACCAAGAAATTGAAGCTCAGCTGTTCATCTCATTCTTTCTCCACCGAGAAAGATTTTGTTACTATGGTCAAATGAACACTAGATACCTATATGACCGTTAGAAACATCAACGATTCCCACTTGAAGAACACACGATATCATATAAATATTACTCTCTACTGATAACAAAATGATAGCTTATTACATTTCTCTTTCGATTGTTAACTAAAAGTTAAGTTCTTCTTCTAAATTTAAAGATAGCGTTGCGTATTTCAAAAAGAAATCTAATAGAATCGTTACATTGGAATTTCCAAAGCTGTTATGAAAAATCACTTGTGTCAAAATACCTGAAATTTCCATGACAAACAAATGATGTGAACTATCATCAGGGTACTACGTGGTATGAATAAATGAATGGTCATTATTCTATTCTATTTTGCTAAGTTTCACCTTAACGACGAAGGCAAAATAAGGTGTTGTCGGTTTTATCAGCAACATGATCACAATCATCGTTCATTCACTAAAATACCAGTGGTAACCTTTCTAAATATTGCTGGACTTTAAGTCATGTAGGATCTACGCTACTGCATGCAGATAAAAACGATTTTTGATAGATGGAAATCAATTTGCTTATTGCATGTAAACGGTTGAGTTACAATGGTTAATTTCTTCCTCACATGAACACGAAAACAATCAAAAACATATCTATCAAAACTTCATGTCACCAAACTATGTTTTAGTAAGTAATTACATTTCAACATGCAAAGAATACATTTACTTCCAAACACATTAATTTCAACGTTTCGTAAAGAACGACTTTGAAATTATTTGTATTACGTCAATGTGATGGTGCACGTTAGACTGTATCTATTCGGATCAGGTAACAGCTGACCAATTGCAGGCATCACTATTTCTGACGAGGTCACGTGATGTTTTGGCACAGTCATATACCAATTCCATTCGCAAATCAATCACTGTCATTAATGAATGTTGGAGGTATCCAATTTACATGAAATGAACATCAGAAACGCATTAAATGTTCATCATAAAATCATGACCATGTTGTCAGTGGGCTGAGGAATTCGCTAGGAATACCCTTCGAAGATACAGTATCTTGTGCATGTATTTAATTTAATCAGGTCCCTGCAAGAGCAGACCACATGTCAATATCGACATGCTTTGTGGAAACTCAAAATGCCATACACCACTTTCAGGAAAATGGAGCAAAACAAACACGATTGTGAGAGAAAAGCTGTGTTAATGAATTAAATAAACGAGGTTTTTATTGTGTTACCATACATAGAACTAAATCATAAAACCGTATATAAAAGGAATTCCCGGAAATTGTAGTCGATCAGCAGTATTGATCACTACCGTCGTGGTAAGACACCCTTTAATCGCTATCCGCCAACATTGGGATATTTAACCGAGATATGAAGGATTGCGATAGAAATGTTTACAACTGTTTTCACTCAGTTTCTCTTCCCCTAGTGCGCCTGAAGCCTTCCAGACAGTTTGATTCATAACAATATATGTTTTATTAAGTTGAAAAAATCGTTAATTTGCAATTCATCAGCAATCTTCAAATTGTAAAATATATGATGATGTAGGCAGTACGAATCACCATGGGCTAACTGCACCTGCTTTGAGATGAAATCAAATTAATAAATGCCTTATTAACATCATCTATAGTATATTTCGGTCAGAAGTCATTTTAAATCTCCGTTCACCTAATGTAGGTTCAACAAACTTAGTAAGCAACATAAAAAACAAGAAAACGTTACGATTTGGACTGGCACTATAATAAGATATTTAATTAGGAGAAAGTTTCAGCATATAAACGAAAAAAAAAGTTGGAGGGATGATATGTAAGAGGTCGACAAATGTCAACAGAAACCATCTACATGTATACGTAGTATATCCTATGCGTAGTATGGTAAACCATAACCATATATGGTCAGTGTTTGTAAATTTGAGACATTGAGAGCGACTAAGGAATGGATTTTCTCATTTGGGATTTTCCTCTTATAAAAAAGATTTTCCTCTTATTAAAAAGTGTTTTCGTGTAACGGGACATCGGTGTGTAGAGGTGAATCACCTCTGATCCTTTATAATGGTAGCACATAGGGAAATGGCTCGTCGTAAAAACTCGTTTTAAACCACAAAAAACATGAGAGAACACCATACTAAGTAATGTTTATATGGAGAAACTGATAATCCCGCCGGATCTTGGCTTAAATCATATTAATCCAGCTGTTCGTATCTGGATTTTAACCACGAGCTCGCGACAAAAAGAAGAGATGTTTTAAATTAGTTATTTGATTTCAACTGGTTTGATTCAGGCTTTCCTTTCATAACATTTTATTGATAGCACATGTTACGTAGAATTTGGTCAGATATTATATGCTGTATAGCCTTCTCCAACATTTCAATAGGAACCTCATAAACGCTATCGGTAACACTGATTGAATACCTTTGTTTGTAGCTTGGTATCTGTATCTGGCTGGAGAATTCCCCGGATGTAGGTGTCCAGTGTCCCTGAGTACTGGTTAGGGGCCAGGTCACGTGCTTGTATGATACTGACCACGAGCTCCGATACCTCTCTGTTAAATACAAATGTCATACATAGATTTATTTAACTACCAACACTTCCATCATATTATACATTTACATCATATAATCAGTAGTTTTTATCTTCTCTGTTTTATATATACCTTTTGTTTTAACAGCACAATTAGAAAGGTAAAATAAATGACTTATACACAGTGAAACTTAACCATTATAGTAATTGTATCAACTTTTCCTGTCCAGTTAAAGATACAAAAAATATCAAGTATATATATAATAAATATAATAGATCCTACCACACAGAGTATTCAAATACATCGCTTGTCTTGGAAAGCATAATAAATAATTTAATGAATATTCTATTCAGTTGCATTATTGGCAGTTTCACGTAACGGCTTATCACCTTGTGAAAATTAAGCGAAAGTAAAGCACATCCGTCGACGCCATGAATGACCATCTGACGTTATGAATTGTTTTTACAGTCCAATGAGAGTTTTCGTTCTTCACATTTGTATCATGTATTCATACATTGTGATTTGTGGTATGATTGAGTTTTTAAGACTTATGAGACGGAACATATCGTTACAAATAAAATGAAAGTATAAGCAAATTATATTTTACTCACAGAACAAAATTTCTATGAATGACATTATTCTGTAGATGAAACACATCCTCATTGCTCCTGTAATGTGTTTCTATACAATAAAGAATTTTATATAAATTACACTAGCCAAAGGGCTTTTTGTTTTAAAATATTAGTTATATCCTATAATATTTCTATTTTGTTTTCATGTAATGTAAGTGTTTGGTGTTTTTCTGTGTCTCGATAAGGGAGCGTATTGCTCAGCAAATTTGACAACCTATATTGTCTACTCTGTCGGAATAACTTCCTTGCCCCACATACCAATTACAAGTAATTCATATCCAACAAACATTCCTTTGGAAGGATCAGTTTTATATGGGAATTTACCGTTAATATTGCTTCTTTGACCCTTATGTATATAAATTATAATATACATATATTATCTTATGTATACATATATTATAATACGTATAATATATATAGATAATATATCAGTGTATCCATTACAAAAATATTACAAAGTTGTTTGATCTAATTTCACTTTGGATATTTCACATACTTAGATATTGTGTCAGTCTTGCCTTTGAAATTTTGTATAATTTGTTTCTGGTTACCGTCCTCTATGAAATCTGACACATTATCTTGTGACATTTGTACCAAGTGACCCAGACAGACGCAGCAACATCGCCTGGCTGAATGCCATAATGGGTAGGGAACAGAATTGTTTCTTGAAGGAAAACCCAGCCATTAAAATACTCCTATATCGCTATTTCGAGATGATGTTTAATTGAGCGAAATATATAGGCGCGTATAGTCCACTCCTTCGAAATAATCTGCTCTGATGCAGTACAATCATGTGTAACAATATGACTCTAGGCCAAGAGGATGGGACTTGATGTCATCATCGCGTTCCTCATATACCCTGTGGCATGGTTTGGCATACCAGTCAATTCATCACCTTGACCCTTTTATGTGATCATCATGTGCTGATGTGTTTAACTCACGTTACATAGAGTTGGAGATTATCTTCGTCATGAATTTTACAGATGATCATCAATGGGGCAGCGAACGACAACACTGTTATTACATTCAGAGTTTAAGGCTGTAAACTATTTACTTTAACGAATTGATGAATGACTGTGGACATTAAGGATGCACCAGTAAAAGTTTCATAAAGTAATGTATCTCAATACAAACTATATGTGCCTCGTTATCTTGGAACAATTGGCATCCTAATAGATTAGTCCTTTACATTGTTGTTATCGAACGAAATCCGAATTAGTTTGACCTGGAAAATTAGTTGTTGTTATTAATGTTTTAGTTGATGTTTTGGATACTATTATACCCATGTTAACGTAAATTCCCTGCAATGATAAAAAAATAAGAACATTGCTATTGATTTAAATTTGCTTAAAACATTTTTCTTTCACGTGATATTCATTAACGAAAGATTGACGTACGATAGTGTGATATGAAGTAGTATTTCAGCAAAACACATTTTTTCACTTGATATTCATTAACAAAAGATTGACGCACGATATAATGATTTGCAGTGTCACTTTTCTAACTGCATTTAAGATGCAAGGTGAGTTGTCTTTCATTATGTGGTCAAATTGTTTGTCAAATATAGGTGCGGTGTAAATATGGTGTCATTTAATCAGCCTAAATGCGCGTGCTAAATGTTATTGTAACAAATGGAGCAGATAACATGATAAAGCTAGAAGACCAACCTGTCGTATTCTAATGCAAATTCCAGTTGTCCAATCTTCGGCATATCCGGTTGCATTTCCAGTACCGAGGAGTCTGAAGCTACGCTGTCACATGACTCTGCTCTGCGTATTGTGTGAGGAATCTCTACCTCAGAGGCTGTAATAGCAAGGCAGTCAACGTTACATGAAAGACAGCGGTGACATATGTGACCGCAGAACAAATGCAAAAAACTATTATTGTAGACGGTATCTAACAGGTATATAAAATACGGAATAACTCGAAAGGGTTCATAATCAATATGAAAATGAAAAAATTCATCTTGTTTTCTAGACCAACAGTATGGAAACATATCACTTTCAACCTGTTGCAGTCCCTAAACCTAACCTTCGGAACGGGAAACCGCTCTGTATCATTAATTTTATTGCTTCTATTTGATGTTTCCTCAAACGTTAGGGTAATGAGAAACTAAAGTAAAAACGAAACAGTAAACACCGTTTGTTTAAAAGTTTCAGTATTAAGATAAGACATACAGTATGTTTGTACATATTACTAATTTATAATTGTACTTACTGAATTTATGTAATGAATACACTTTAAAATTGAAGGTAACCTCAAACTACTACACGCAGACGAGGAAAGCGATACCAAACACAAACCAGGGGAGACACTATAACATTCCTTGCACATATAAACTAAGAACTTGAACTAAGGCCAATCACTTACCGACGGACACAGGACTACTGCGCGCACTTTCTTCTTGTCGCGGAGGTGAATAACTGCGAGGTGGGGAGTACGTTGCGGTCTGTGCGTAGTTTGGATCAGACTGGATGGTATCGTACTGTACAAACTTTCCACTGGTGTCCAGGACAAAGTCAGACTCGGAATTGACCTGTACAGCAAGTGAGAAAAAAGGCTGACATGAATATGTTAACAATAATATTTACTAGGGAGGTGCTTGTCAGCACATATTTTGCCTTGCGTAACATAATACTTAATTGCAGTATATAGTTATATTTTAATGACAATATATATATAGTTGTTTTTTGACATTTAACAGATTAACATTTAACGATGACAACATTATCTCAAACGTGGGTATAGGAATTCAGTTGTGTGTAATGATCGGAAGCTATTAGGCGTTTGGGTTGGTATTTCGTTATCGTATTACATGCTTGAATAAAATAATTGTAAAATCCACTTTTCTTGACAAACCGTGCTGCTATGAATAATCTAAAAACGAGTTTCATATATTTAATCAATTGATACGTGTTGCTAAATATCCCCTTTCAGCAATATATAACTGAGATTTTATTCTAAGCGTTGTACATGAACACTTTCTGTAATGATGATAGCGTTCAGTAAAATAATTAAATGGGGGTAATATCACATATGATATTGTATTCTGCCACTATAGGTATATATAACAGAACAATATAATGTACGATAACTCTTCGAGGCAGAAATTACGTTTGACATTTAGTAACAAAAATAGAACCAGAAAGGGCATTTTACTAATATGGCTTCATAATCCTTCAAATGTGTGACACGTTATAAACACTGATAAACAACTGATCATTGAGCTTTGATTGTACTTTAAGGTGAATAACATCTGTTTGGTTAGTGACATTGGATTACGGTTAATGACATTTGATTATGGCAAATGACATCTGAGATGTGGTAAGTGGCATCTGTAAAAATGAAAGTATAGATCGTCAGATCTACAATGGTTAAATTATTACCGGCCCCACACATTTAGTTTTGTTTGATGTATTAGTTCCAATTTGAGGGTTATGCAACTGATACTGCCAGAAACAAGGAACCAATTTTATTGGATTATTTGAAACAGACACATATTCTTTCAAGGTAAAAAGTATATAAGAAGTGAAATAAAAAAGGGAATATATACCACATCTTCAACACGCAAAACAATAGAACAACAGATCTAAAGGATGATACAGGAAAACACGAGAAACAGCAGGAACACATATCAAATGCCGTTGAAACCATGTGCTCTGAAAGGATACACTTTCGGCGCCCATCAAATCAAGATGTGTTTTCCCTATAAAATAATCCATATCGACTACCGGAGGGACTAAACATGACTCTGATGTAATGCAAATCGACCTCGGAATCACTTGTCACCCATTGATGACATGAATAAATGTTTGCGTATTGAACTGTTTGTGACCGACTGTCTTTCCGGAATTTCAGGGCGGACATAGTGATGGATGTTGATGTTTAGCAGGCACCGTTTAGCTCTCTGGGCACATCCTGGATTGTATGGTGAAGTTAATGTTATATTGTCAATTCCTGTTGTGTTGTGTTAGAACTAATTATTAGTTGTAGTAGTTATATAGTTAAGCTATCTTCTTTCAAAGACTGAACAGTTCCCCATTTGTAAAGTCAAAGTATGTGTACGATTCTGTATTTTTATGCTGCCTGTTCCAAAAATACGCATAGTTTCGACTGTGCCACGTTCTTGTGTCAAAGATGGTAATGTCTAGGAATGGAGTTGGCCGGCTGTAGGGTATGAATGTCAATGCTATAATAAGTTTGCTTAAACTATGTAAGTTCAGCATATTGCATTTTCGGCATTGACTTTCATTGATTACAGGCTGGTTAGGCTTTGAGTTTCTAGAGGTCCTTTTGGAAAATGATGTGTTTTCTGAAGCTCCATTAAATGTCCAGGAGTGAAGCTATACATGTAATTCATTACTATACTAGCATCAGTTTTGTGAACTCAAATCATTATTGTTGCAGAAGTTTTCACAATCGCTGGTTAGGAAGACGATGTTTCTCCTTCCCGGGTGATACGCCCAGCCTGTCCTGCTTTTGCCATTTGCTATATCGCTAGAACAATGCAGTGTTATGGAAGTTATTCATTCCTTGATGGTATTGTTATTTCCGACTTCGCTAAACGAAAGGCTCTCTAAAATCACGTTGATGGTGTCTATAGTTTTCCTATTTGTTGTGTTATATTGCTACTTTATTATTGCTGGTTTTCTTCTCGATCTGTCTTGACATTTTGCCAGGCCAGTTTGTTTGTAATATTGAAAGACTTTCCTACTCCCACGATGTTGGCTTTTGTTGATTGGCAACATACGTGTGTGTAATAAGGTACCGATAGGCTCTTGGTCGGAGGCATGGTCGTCTAGTGGTAGGACGCTGAGGTCGTGACCGAAGGGTTGCGGGTTCGATTCACGCAACGGCACGGCACTGTGTTGTATCTTTGAGCAAGATGCTTTACTCCGCTTGTTCCAGTCTACTCAGCTGTAAATGAGTACGTGGTTGGACAGTGCTAGAATTGTAGAATGCTAGCTATGAGCGCCGAAATGGCAGCACCGACTGTATACTCCCCGGGGTGTTGAGAAATATATTGGCTGGTTGCAAAGGCCCTATAACCACGGATAATAATTTGTGAACGACCAACGAAGAAGGTTGTGATAAAGCGGTATATATGAACGTCGAATTATTATTATTAATGTTATTATATACCTTGCCAAGCCAAGTATGCCCTGCTCATTTTTTGTTAGGTATGGCTAGATGGTGTCTACAAGTGACTGCTGAGTGACACAATTTCGGAAACCAAGTTTCACAGACTGACAGGGCCAGTAAACGTCTGAATAATTGATGACGATATCAACAACAGGAATAGCTTGTCGGGGTTTAAGTGTTTCAAATATCATAGAACGAAATGTTTCGAGTGATATGCAAAAATTGCCTATGGATTTGTCAATGTTTTTGACAGTTTGAATTGTTTTATTTATTTCGTAGTCCCTTTCGCCTCGTGAGTTCTCCCCAAAGACTATATTTACTTTACAAGATTGTAAACCTTTCCAAGAGAGTGCTTTTGTCGTCTCTGTTTCTGCTATAGCCAACAGGGAAGGCTTCATTGGTTTCCAAATTATCAGGAATTTGACTTTGTAAGGCTTCGCGTCCGAGGAGATTGTTTGTCATTCCTGGGGAGACCGTATAGAGTACTCTGTCAAACTCTGTTTTGATGACGCAATTGTTGACCAACTTGATGATATGGTATGACAAGTGTAAGATAAACTGAAAAAAGGGATCATTTAGAGTCTCAGATCGATTATGAAGTTGATGGAGCAATCACAGATTGGCGCGAGCACCGGAGTTCGCAGCTGCTGAAGTGAACGTTTTATAGTTCATACTGTAAAACTGCCAGCATTCTCAGACGACATGCCACTAAATTACAGGACCAGGTGACGCCCAGCCAGGGGCAGGATCTAAGTGATTATCTATGCTTATCTTCTGTATGACATATAGATTGAATCCAAATTTTAATACATGTTTTTATCTTCTAGATGACCATTTTCATCACGTCAGACACGTTACATGGTCAACTTATCAAACAAAATGTGAGCAGGGAAATACCATTGAAAGGGAAGGAGCATTGAAAGACGTTAGCCGAATTGCTGCACGATAGAACTCTGGGGTAGTGTCACTAGACTAGCACAAAAAAATAAAAAAAATAAAACTCACTATCGATAGAAAATGCTACAGAAACGAAGTAGACATCAAAATGCTGTATTTGTAGGGGGTCAATGGCATTATAACAATCACACCGCAGATGAATTAATGCGTTGAGCTCAAACCCATTTTTAGCATAATACTGTAATCATATTGACATAATCAATTGGAATTTCAAAAGCTACGTTCCAGGTTTTATTAGTGTGTAACAGGAAAGAGAATAGTGTGCTTTCACCGGGGATCGAACCCTCGATCTCCAGGTTCCTAGTCGGACGCTCTACCACGGAGCTAACGGGAAATTATACTAGTTTATACTTGTGAAGATAGATCAATAGCTGAAATAAAACCATCGCTACATTTGAACATTAACATGCATACAGCTAAAGAACGAAACTGTCCATACCGAGGCTTTTCAAGCATTTCATGTACACTGATTGCATTCATTTGAACCATTAAAATGTAGCTATAGTTACGTGATAAAATCTAAAATAAATATTAGATAGAATACTAGTTACCAACTACTCTGCTAATAAAGTATTGATTCACCACTATATAAGCAACAGATGCTTGCAGCAGTCTCATATTATACAATACATTTATATTTGTTTGAAGGACGTTAACAAGACCTAAAAAGTGACATGTATGTGTAATGTAAAACAGCAAACAAACAAAAAATAGATTACTCTGTAGAAAAGGTCGATAAATAACACCCCACTGGCGACACAAGATCAACAACTTCGATCAATACATAATATTTACCAATACGATAAAAAAAACATTGTGCTGTCTCCATTACGTTTTGCAAATCTGAGAAGTGAATAAATGGGAAATCTTAGAACATTTCTTAGTATCGTGCTAAAATATGGTACATCGTATCAACGAACGAACATGATAATTATAGATACAAGAAATGTTGGTCGTGCTGAAACATTGATATAACTGCAAGAAAAACATGCACTTTCAGGAGAGATCCTCACTTCCGTGGCATCACGTTTGACACTTTTCCCAACCTTTGATACAAATCATTAACTGCATTCCGTTTTGCATGGCAGTTGTATGTGTTGATAAGCGATATGCATGCAAAATTGAAAGTGAAAAAGCAGACTTGGGGACATTAGTATGCGTACAGCCTAGGCGTGCAATCACGAATAAGGTCATTTCAATTAGTGTTTTTGTCGTGTATCTAACTCTCGTCCATGGGCGCGTGTATCAGACTGAAAGGTTATCTCGGAAGCAGACCCAAGACCCCAGGGACTAATCCTAGCTGGCAAAGCTTGCATAGCAAGACGATATCGTGAGATGTTGTTTGCAAGGAATCCTTTTGACCCTTGATTATTTCTTATACCAAGGACACCTCCATAATGTCAAAGTTGAACTCTCAATCTACACAGATTGGGAGGTCCAAATATCACAAAGTCTTGAAAACGTTTGACTAAGACACGGTAATTAGAGTTGGACTTTCTGGAATGGAAATTCGTGTCAATGGAGAGAATGGTCTCAAATGGTTTCGTTGACACGAAGTTTAGATAGCAGAGAGTGCTCAGACATGTTGACTACTTTTGTATAACGGTATGACGGGCATCGTACGCAGCAGTTTGTATTGTTCGTCTTGCAGTAATTGGAGATGGCCAAGATTAAGTTACACGCATCCTATCAACACTTGCAAAACGCACGGTGGTTGTATAATAACATACCTTGATGATATCACACAGGAAGGTAAAAATAGACAAGTCAACACTGTTTTGCGAAAACTGCTTGTGGTTGCTATTTTTCATTTCCCATAGTTGCTTTCCTCTTAACTGATCATTCAGAAATTTGAGAAAGGTTTTTCTTTCTTTAAAGAAAATTGAAGCTAAGATGTTCTCATCTTCATAAGGGATATAGTGGCAAATACTTTCACGCGACATTACCGGCTGTAGCTTAAAAATGCTTCTCATGTTTATTTTGGAGGGTAATTGTATCCCTTCACACAAATATGGATATGGGGAAATGCCAGGTACTAGCCATCTGATTTCGCATCAAACCCATTTAATGTAAAAACACCAACACCCACATTTTAAAAGAAAAATAGAATTATTTTTCCAGATTTGTGTAAAATAACGCTGACTTGTTCAAATCACACCTATGAGCTAAACGCGATCGTTGTTGAACCATTAGGTGAATCTGTAATATATTATGCAGCTTTCCCTTAAATGTTCATACCAAACATGTTGGTTTCGTTTAAAATAGATTTACCAATTGAATTCAACAATCCAATATATATCAGCTTCTTATCCAAAATATAATCAGTTTTCATGCTTGCATTTTGGCGCGGAAATTTATGATCTCATTTGGGATTGAGTAATGGTTGGGTAACTGCTTCATCACACATGGCCGCTGATTTGGAGCACACGTCAATTTAATAAATTGGAACTACAACATCACATCACGTAATGCCAACGCTATGTTCGAAAACAAAAGGAATTGTTTAAATCCGTGCACATTGCTCTGCATTTGCTATCGATCTTAGTGCATGTCAATTTGCGTCGTCAGGCAATATATCATTTGTAATGCAAAGCCGCCAACAACACTCAGTTATGATGCCGCCCGTAACGCTTTACTTCAGACGTGGTGTGATGGCATCCGTGATTATCAAATCAAGTTAACTAGTTTACTAGTCGAGTTAAATGAAACATGCATCGTCTTTTGAAGCTATGAAATTATTAAAAGCAGTTACTGTACGAGATTAAGATGAAACTGTCATAGACTTTGCTTAACACTCATGGTCGTTGTATGAAGTTGTATTGTCTTTTTAAGTCAAATTCCGACGTCACAGAACTCAGAACCATTTTTTAACATTTCCTGATCAAACGTTAGAGCAGAGGCCTTCAATCAGTTTGAAACCTTACCAGTTAGCAGGAACCTCAAAGGAATCACAGCCTTTAAATTAGATTAGTAAAGATTTTGATCAACATGAATTAAGGATGCTTCTTCCAAAAATTAGTTAAAACCTTGGTAGTAGTTTTGGAGACGATATTACTTAAAGCAAATCAGCCTATTCTCAGTCCCTATAATTTTGGATAATTTTGGATATATAATTGAATAAATCCATATCATAAACGAGTATTCTTGCTTATAAGAAATAATCTTGAATTCCTATGAATGCAAATTTTATTTCAGTATGTCAATGAATATTTCCATAACATAAACGAGTCTTTCTGTTTAATGCATGTAGAAGTACTATCGAATTCAAAATGCAAATTCTATTTCAGGTTATACCTATAAGACACCTTATGAAATATCAATAGTTATGAACACATATACAGTTATAGTAGTACGTACCATGTATCCGTTGTATTGCTCATGCTGTGTCAATACGGCTTTTTCTTCTCCAGAGGCAAAACAGGATGTGAAGTGGTATATCCCAAAAAGACGGATCAGAATGGCAATCACCACCGCCGCCACCATACATATTCCAAGAACAAGGAGGGCTATCCCTACGTCACTCATTTCTCCATGAAAACGAAAATGTCGGGATGATGATGTTTGCTGGAATTTTTAACGAAAACGCGGGAGATAACTTGTCCTGTAAAGTTTGTCTTCCTCATCCGGGTCCGTGATGGGTCATGGTGGAACCTGAAGAAACAAAAATGAAATAAATAAGTTACAACTATAATGCTATTACCACACTTCTAACACAATTACAAGACTAATTTGCTTCGCTGATGCATTATTCAATCAGTAATGTAACCCCAGCACTAAATGTTTGTACCTTTTCTGTTTGAAATGTCGTAGCTCATTTCTGAACAAACATATATAAAGTCATAACAGTTTTACAATCGGTAAAACCAGGATATTATCTGACACTGCAATATTTATGGCTTCTAAGCAACATTTAAAAAGTTCACATCTGAAATGTGAGAATCTGTACATGTGAAAAACAATTTCATCTTCGGAAGATAATAAGGAGAAATCAATACTGAATTTCAAAGTTAATTAATGTTTTAATCTACCTCGCGGGAGCAAACCTTCTATTAAAGTTTCACGGTATATCGATGACACGGTCCTATGATGGGGTGACGTTGATTGCCACAGCAGACCAAACATAAAAAAGTGCATGTTAAATTAATGAGAAAAGAATCATGCATTATCGATGGGAAGCACTCTGACAACTTTAATATATTTGACTATCTACCGGCTAGTAGGTCACATAGAACGAGACTGCTTACAACAAACCAGGTCGTCGTAGAACATGAAATGTATAGCTCGTCAAAGTTAACTCTTTTGGCGTTCGTACACCTAGTATCAATAATGGTCATATATCACATATTATCTGTAACATGTAAACTGTAAAATCATCAGATATACATCATAGCAAGTATATGACATGGTCAAGACGATACAGAATATGATTATTGCCAATAAAGCATATGGTTAGGGCTAGGAATATGATTTTTTAGACTGTTACAAAACAGATTATCATCAGAACAATGTAGAACATGATTAAATTAAAAGAATATTGTCTTTGTAGAGCAGAATATGGTCAGGACAGTGTAGATCATGATTGGGTACTATATAGAACATTGTCACGGCTGTACAGAATATGTTCACGACAGTATAGACTATGATTAGGACTATATAGAACATTGTCACGGCTGTACAGAATATGTTCACAACAGTATAGACTATGATTTGGACTATATAGAACATTGCAAAGGCTGTACAGAATATGTTTACAACAGTATAGACTATGATTGGGACTATATAGAACATTGTCACGGCTGTACAGAATATGTTTACAACAGTATAGATTATGATTGGGATTATATAGAACATTGTCACGGCTGTACAGAATATGTTCACGGCAGTATAGACTATGATTGGAACTATATAGAACATTGTCACGGCTGTACAGAATTTGTTCACGGCAGTATAGACTATGATTGGGATTATCTAGAACATTGTCACGGCTGTACAGAATATGTTTACGACAGTATAGACCATGATTGGGACTATATAGAACATTATCACGGCTGTACAGAATATGTTTACAACAGTATAGACTATGATTGGGACTATATAGAACATTGTCACGGCTGTACAGAATATGTTCACGGCAGCATAGACTATGATTGGGACTAAAACGAACACTGTCACGGCTGTACAGAATATGTTTACGACAGTATAGATTATGATTGGGATTATCTAGAACATTGTCACGACTGTACAGAATATGTTCACGACAGTATAGACTATGATTGGGACTATAACGAACACTGTCACGGCTGTACAGAATATGTTCACAACAGTATAGACTTTGATTGGGACTATATAGAACATTGTCACGGCTGTACAGAATATGTTCACGACAGTATAAACTATGATTGGGACTATATAGAACATTGTCACGGCTGTACAGAATATGTTCACGGCAGTATAGACTATGATTAGGACTATATAGAACATTGTCACGGCTGTACAGAATTTGTTCACGGCAGCATAGACTATGATTGGGACTATATAGAACATTGTCACGGCTGTACAGAATATGTTCACGGCAGCATAGACTATGATTGGGACTATAACGAACACTGTCACGGCTGTACAGAATATGTTTACGACAGTATAGACTATGATTGGGATTATCTAGAACATTGTCACGACCGTACAGAATATGTTCACGACAGTATAGACTATGATTGGGACTATATAGAACACTGTCACGGCTGTACAGAATATGTTCACGACAGCATAGACTATGATTGGGACTATATAGAACATTGTCACGGCTGTACAGAATATGTCCACGACAGTATAGACTATGATTGGGACTATATAGAGCATTGTAACGGTATGACATATTATTATCACGACAATATAGAATATGATTTAGAAATATAGAACATAGTCACTATAGTACAGAATATGATCTCGACAATAAAGAGTATGACTTGGATTATATAGAACATTATCATGGTATTACATTGTATTATCAAGACAATATGTATTATGATTGAGACAATATAGGACACTGGCATGGTAATACAGAATATTATCACGACAACACAGAAACACCCAGTACAACCAAACAGAATAAAATAACAAATAGATTTCTACACTTTACAATAAGAAATTTCGTCAGACCTAGTTAGCAATAGGGACTAATAAGGACATGAGCGTTTGTGTAAAAATGATCTAGATGCTTTTGTAAACCAAAATGTTTTTCAAATCGAAATAAATGCAAAAGGGTTGAAATTCATTTGATCATGTTTTACCTACAAAGTGTACTTGTACCGGGGGTGACTTTCCCTATGACGTGTTTGTTTAGTCAGACGTCAGCGGGTAGATGGTGTAACTAAAGTTAGCACAGACTCTTAATTCATAGGAGGCACGGTAGTCTAGTGGTAGGACGTCGAGCTCATGACCGAAGGGTTGCGGATTCGAGTAACGGCACGGCACTGTGTTGTATCTTTGAGCAAGATACTTTACTCCTCTTGTTCCAGTGTACTCAGCTGTAAATGAGTACGGGGTTGGGCAATGATAGAAATGTAGAAGATTGCTAGCTGTGAGCGCCGAAATGGCAGCACCGGCTGTATGCTCCCCTGGGAGTTGAGAACGATATTGGCTTGTTGCAAAGGCCCTATAACCGCGGATAATAATTTGTGAACCGCTTTGAGACGCCCTACGAACTAGGTTGTGATAAAGCGGTATATAAGAACCTTGAATTATCATTACTATAATTATTAATTAATTACACCCGTAAATGTACTTAAATAGGTTCATGGTTGTGCTTACCTAGTACTGGTCTGTCAGCATTACCAGTGCGGTTAATTTTGAACTATCACGCGGGCTATATAAACCACCTATCGATTCATACTGTATTAGAATAGATACTAGGATTGTCTTCGGCTTGTTTTACGATTTTTGTCATCAATCTTAATTAGGTTGTCCAATTACCGGCCCGGATCCTGCCGTGTTTGACACTTGGGTCTAATACCAGATGTCAGTCGGAATCTCAGCCGCACGACCAGACCGATAAGGTTGCCGTGCGAGTTTATTGATGAGGTCAGTATCGGAGGCTCAAACAGTGTGGGTCAAGTACTTCATACTTACCATGATGCCCTACAATCCTATTTAACAATTCCAATTAAATATCAATGGGTACATGTATATATTCCTGTTTCTTTATTGTCGGGATGTACGTCAATTACATCCGGCTATTTGCACTTTGGAGTATTCTGTTAAAAAAATATACAAACTAAGACTGCAGTCACCTGGCTATGCAAACGTCGAGGAATAGCTTATTAACTTGTAATCATGGAAACAGCGTAGCAATCGTTGATCGCTCTGTTGTGGTGAAATCGGTATTGCTGCAGCAACGTTGAGCGTCATATACGTTCATCAGTCTTTTTCATTAATAAAAATATCCGCATGTTTGACGATAGTTGTGACAATCTCTCCTGAATATGACATAAGAAAAATCTTTAGAACCTCACACTCATAAACAACACATCAGATCTCCGACTAGTTTCGACGGCTCACAACTGAACTAGCAATTTTAGAAATGTTGGTTAACAATTCAACGCTTATGAAAAAGAAACGAAATGTGGTTATAGTGACAAAGTACAAATGTCATTCAGTAGACAAAATATGACGTGAAATATTGATTTCAAACATTTGAGTATAAATGATGTATTATTCTTCATTTCTGATGCTACAGCTGAAGAGTTGAAACGGAGGCTCCCGTCTCCTGTAAGTAGACAGCCGGTCTAACATTTCTTCATCACAAGTGACCAAAACGTACTCACAACATTAACACATATATATATTTGAATTGCATATACATACGAAGTTATAACATTACTACCTATTACGTATATGTGTCATGTCTCATCAACTTCTATGCTTATTCTAAAATGATGCGAACCAGTTATTATAGTATCACTGAAGCCTTTATGAATTCACTCTGCTGTTGCCTGAGTATTGATGTATACCAATACTCTGTTGTACTTCTGAGAATTTTCTGTACCATTTACGCTTATTAATCACCTTGGTTTAAAGGATATGTTAACAGCTTCCTTTGACGACTGTGCACTAGTTAACCTTCGTTGACAATGTGTTAACCGTCGAGTTATAATTAGTAGGCCTATTGTCTGTGTCTAGTTAACCTTCGTTGACAATGTGTTAACCGTCGAGTTATAATTAGTAGGCCTATTGTCTGTGTCTAGTTAACCTTCGTTGACAATGTGTTAACCGTCGAGTTATGATTAGTAGGCCTATTGTCTGTGCCTAGTTAACCTCCGTTGACAATGTGTTAACCGTCGAGTTATAATTAGTAGGCCTATTGTCTGTGTCTAGTTTATTGCATCAGCTGCATCTAGTACTCGTGAACCAGTTCTGTTAAACTTGGTCCGGCTTTTCACCTTTTAATCAATATTCTGTTTCAGTAATGATGTCCAAATGAGTTTTAACCGGCGCTGATGATAATTAGTTTGTTTGAATGAGCGACAGGAACCTAGATGTCAGCACCGACATACACATGAAAGACCAAGCTATTTAAAATAATTCTACCACCGCTGGGCACGGAACCTGGGAGAAACAGCGTCTCCTTGTCTGCTTGTTTCTGTCGTTACAAG